ACTAAGTTGTTATCTTCAGTAGAATTGAATAACTAAGAAAAAAATAATTTAACTATATCAACTATGGATTAGTTAAAGCCTATAAATCATAAAATATAGAATTGAGAAATCAGGTTTTCCTTTCTATTGTAAGCTCATTTTGTAATAACTGTATGAATAAGTTTTTTAAAAATGAAAAAAAATTTGGCTCACAATATATGCGGAAGAATGCTCAATCAACATTTTTGATTTATCATTCCAACAATAGGCAAACAATTGTGATTTCTGATAATTAAATTGTATTTTTATTCAGCTCTGAAATTTATTTAATTACAAGCAAATTTAATGGAGTTTTATGTTAAAAAATTGATCTGTCCAAACAAATTAAATAATTTGTCAATCTAAGCTCATATTTATTGATTCATCCAAAAATTTTTGCTGATTGATCTATTCCACTGACTTTGAAACTTATGAAAAAGTCATAGGATAGGGAAGAATAAAAAGAGCACCATGTTTTGTTAGCAAGTTAAGTTCATGTTTTAAAAAATCTGGAAGATATGGATTCAGTTAATAATAACAATAATAATAATAAGTATTGCTACTATTATCGAATCTTTTTCAATGATGCAGTTATGAAATGTATAATTGCTTGAACTCTTCGAACCGTAGATTATGAAAGTAAGAGTAAGTTATTTTGTTTCGCTAAATATGTTTCAAGCAAAAGTCTCATATATCAAATTATATTACTGAATACCTTACGGATGTGTTAGAAATGGTTTTGAATAAGTATATTATTAATCTAGTATTGAGTTATTCTTCCACTGCTTATTACTTGACAAATATGCTAGTTTATAGAAAGTTGATTAGGCTTGAATGAAGGAAGAAAACGTACATTGAGGTAATAACTTCCTTTTAAAATGTTCGATATTTTAAATTGGTTTCTCCATCGGAATGTCATATTCAGTGCTGTATGAAAATATTCATACTGAATGATGATGTAAAAGTATTGTAGAAAAGCTGTGATTCTTTAACGCAATTCAGCATATCAAATCAATTGATAATTGTCTCATTCATTCAACCTGTAAAAGAGTATCTTTTATACTCTCCATAACTTTCGATAGATCACACATAAAAGAAAACCATATTAGCTAAATTTTAAGCAACTGAAATTAAAGTACTTTCAACATATCATTCAGCAGTTTATTCCAAGCTTCTTAGAAGAAACAACCAAAAATCAAGATCAGCACTCAACTATTAGAAATCTAATTGTTCAAATTTAAACAGCATTATTATGAAATATTTTAGTGAATCCAATAAACTAGTTGCTTATTTTATTTAAAATAAATTTTCTTGTTCTCCACACTATTTACTTATAAGTAACTTCTAGTACGAAAAATAACTTCTCCAACATCACTGATAGATCGTTTATCACAATTGTCCAATAAGTATCCAATTGATTGAAAACTCATAAAACAACAATGGTAAATAAAGTGTATGTTTTATTTTGGTATAATTTCCCCATTAAAACATATATTCATAAATGTATATTATCATTAGCAAAATGTTAATTTTATTCCTGTGAGATTTCACCTGATTGATTTAATGTGTTCATATTATTAACAACCAATTCAATGTAACTATACAATACTTATATTTGTTAATTAATAGAGACCAAAGCAATTTATTTAATTTTGTTCTTAATGTTCTATGTTAATAGCTTAGCAATAAAATAATAATAATGATAATAACATGATAACAATAAAATCATCGAGAGAAAAAAAATGTTTTCATATTATTGTAATGATTATTTATCATAAATGGAACAAAAATATTACCTCTTTAGGAAATCTGTCAACAATGTGTTAAATTTTTAAAACCTATAAAATTGCATTGCCATTCATTTAATTGCATATATTCGTTTATCATTTAGTTGACAATTGAATTTTTATGAAAGGTTTTGCGGATATTATAGTAATTTAATAGTTGAATTTATGAGTCAATTGAAGCAAGATCACCATCGAAAAGCTTGAAGTGGATTGGTTGAAGTTAGACATTAATAACGTTTGATGCCGGTTCAGTGGTCTAGAGTTTCGCGAAAGACTGATAGGTCCTGGGTTCGAATCTCGCGGGGCAGGATCGTGCATGCACACTGTTGAAGAGTCCCATACTAGGACGAAACGGCCGTCCAGTGTTTCCAGGTTTTCCATGGTGGTTTAGCTTCAATTGACTCATGAATTCAACTGTTAAATTGAATTTCTATCTAATATCTCTATTACGATAAAATTATTTACTCAAGCTCACTGTTAAAGTAGACAAATCCTGATTTAAGATAATATTTCAGGATATTGACATGTTGTTATGGAATGTATGTTATTTCACAAGACGGATAAAACTAAATAATATTCATATTGTAATTAATGTTTTTGTTGTTGTTGTTGATGATAAAGCTCATTTTATTCTGTTTTAAAATTTCCATATCAATAAATTGAAAACAAATATAAGTTAAATATATTTGATGGATTACACTTCAAACAACATTACAATACAGTCATACAAATAAATCATAGTTATTATTAGAGAAAAAATTACAATCATTTAGGCTAAAACTGGTATCATAAATAAAATTTACCATGTGTACTAATCAAAGTAATCACTACGAATAAAAATTGATGGATGTAAAGTTTTGCGATTTAGAAGAAGACAACTGAACATTGTTATTCCTTTGAATCAATAAAACATTGGTAAATACAATGGTATTAATAATATTCCCCATTATATGAAAGACACGTTTCATAATTGTCGACGACTGATTATTTCACGTTATTACCTAAAAACATACTTTATTGACAAACAATTAGTGTATATCTTCAATAGGTGTCTATTTTGTAATATTTTAATATAACAATTAACTGATTTGATGGAGAAAAAGTTCCTATATTCAAATTCAATAAGATTCTTTAGACATTACAATTGGTTAATAGTTTCTGTTAGCCGAGTTAATATTTTCTAGGGTTATTTACTTTGTTTATACAACTGGTTGTGACTTTCAAGGTGCACCTATAGTTAGCATCAATTTCAATACTGTTCCATTCCTCTTGATTATATCACTTAATAACTGTATGATATATAATTTGATACTATTTCAAACTAAAAGACATCGAGGTTTTTAAATTTCTAAAACTAAATATAACACAATGTGCACTATTTAGCAAAAAGTGTTTGAAAACTCCTTACTGAATTATAGTTCATTTTTACTTCATTTTTATATAAGAAAGCTTTAATATACATATTTGTTTATTGTCTGAACACATCGCAAATGCTATTTGTGGAGTACACATGATATTTGTATGCTATCAGTTAAGTATTAAAATTACGATAACACTCATTTGAAATAACATTTGGATTTAATAATTCAATAACCTCACCTTACTAGTAGGATATATGTGTTTCTTTCACAGACGTACCTTTCAACAAACTTCATTACGATACATCAAAATGTTACATTTGATCTTTCTATTATTCAAGTCTACTTCATTGTTTAATTTTTTTTCTAAAGTATGGTTCACTCACAATACCCGACCGTGAAAATCTGAGTTATTATCTGTTGTGAAAGTCACCTAAAAGTAAAAAAAAAAGGTTTGATTACGGTCAATTTTATTAAAACTGCAGAAACTTTATTATAAATAAGCTTACATTTAAAGTTCTCTTGTCTTTCTTGTTTTATCCCTGCTTATAAAAACGAAACAGTTTCTCCTGTCACGCACAAACCATAAATGACCTCAGAAAATTTGAAACACTTTCATCTTATTATTAGTATTATTATTATTATTATTATTATTATTATACTTTTTACTTTATCTAGCAACTTAGAATCTTTTTTTAAAACATAACTTTATTAACATATTACACAGATTCTAAATTTACACACTAGACTGCTTTTCTATTTCATGTTTATTTGACAGCATGCAACTTGAATTCTTAACAAAAGGTTATACATTTTCATGAATAACATCTTTAAAAAAGAAATTCAATTTCTTAAAGCTTTAACTATCAGAAAGAAAATTAAATAAATACCATTATCCAATATGAAGAAAATATGATCAGTTAATCCATTAAAAAAGGGAATGTGAAAACTCATAAGGTCATCAGGATGAATTTCCTTACACTTAAACATTTAGTTTGATTAAAATTGAATCTAACATTGACTTAGTTTGCTCCCTTGTCAATTGAAAACAGGATATATCAAGTTGATTAATCTTTAGCTAATTTAAATAGATCAGATTTGAATGACCTTATTTGAAGTCTAGTGAAACTTTATACTCACCTTAGAATTCAGTAGGTAAATATAAATATTTCATACCATGTATTATGTGTCTTAGTAAGACCATTTTGTAATCAATGTAAAAGTTTTCTTAAGAAGATGGTACTCGATATATCGATAGCAATCTTATGCGATTACTATCTTTGTATGTTTTGTCAAGAGTAGAAATATTTATCATTTGTTGTGAAAACTGTACTGTTTCAGTGTCTATAGGTAAAATGTATGTACATTACTAGCATACACTGTAGTGTATTCTTGGTTTTTAACTAAGTAATATGGATTTCGTGGAATAAAAGCTGATGGTTGCTGTTATCTCTACCTTTATCATTTTTCCATTTTTATAAAGCCAGGTATTACCACAGTAAAAGTCAGTATGTAATCGTACACAGAGTGTACTTTACGTACAAAATATAAATATCGAGGAGAATGTTGTCCTCATTATCTTCATCTTATTGTTTATACAAGCAAAAAACAGTAATTCAACCAGATATATTTACATAATTACCCTATGAAGTCTGAATGTTTTTGTTCAGGTTTAATTTGTTATCTATATTAGAAGCATTCATGGATCAACAATTCTTCTCAGTTAACTTATTCGTCAGTTCTAACGACATTTTGTCATAAAACTAAACCAATAGGTCTAGTTCATTTTGCTTTAATCTAATTATCGATTATTTGATTCATTTTGATTTTTCTACAGATAAACGATGTCAGTGTTCTTCTTGGTTCAATTATATCAAGGCGCGAAATGCTGGAACAGTCCCAAAATGCAGCTAAAATTTTATTTCCCTCATGTGTAAGTAATAGTGACATGTTTTTCAAACGATAAATATGAAGATGTCAACGTTTTTATTAATGAAACGGATGAGCTTATTAGTAACAGTTGTAAATGCGTTAAGAAATCACAGTCAAGACTATTGTTTGCTAGTACTGATAAGTGTTTCATGCTGACTATTAATACCAATCATTGATTATTTGGAAAAAACCTATGGACCTCTGGATTCAGTGGCTAAATGGACAACGTGATTACGTTTGAAACAAACGGTAATGGATTCGATTCCTGGAGTGAACGTCAACTATTGGATGCAGGTACATCCAACCGACGATTCTGAGTCAGAACGAAACGTGTGCCCTAGATTGCACCGTTATCCATCATCCAACTCTGCTTATAAAGACCTATGTCATTGGTGTAAACATTTATCATTATCAAGAGATTTCAAACAGAATACTACTTCAAAATTAGTGATTAAATTGTGTATAATTGCTTCTAAACTTGGCATGTTACTAATAGTTTATGAGTCAGATCATGAATTAGTACCCTGACTGTTGTTTAACTGCTGTCAATTGAATGGTTCAAAGTTCAATTATTTTTGATCCAAATGTTCTTTTAGTCTGTTGATATCTATTATTACATTAAATTAGCACAAATGAAATTAATTAATACTTTTACATTTTTTATTTTGTACTACTTTTTACATCTTTAACTCTATAACAGAAATTTATTGATATCGTTAGTAAAATCTATTATGTAGGATGCGAAATAAAAATTCTATTTGGAATCGATATGTTTAGATATTCTTATTTAATGTTCTAACGAACATTTGCTTTCCAAAAATAATTATATTGTACTCGTAAATGAAATGATTCGTACAATGGCAAACTTCCAATATGATCTATATATGATTTTTTTCATATTTGTATATTCATTTATTTTCAGTTTGATTCTTTGAGATTGTAGGTCTAGGTTTATGAGATTTTATAAAAGATATCAAATGACAGTTTTTACATTTTATTGTTTATATTTCTTTCTTTTTACAGTGGTTAGCTGAACTGGTTATTTCAAATAGACATCAACCATCAGTAAACTGTCCTCTTGAAGTACTTATTCGTGAAATCAGGTAAAAAAATGTGTGGTTTATTTTTTATACACTGGCTTACATTATTTTATTCAGTGAATTGATTCTTTCCCCTCAAAACGTTCCGTAGATACATAAATTTTTCCACTCCTACTTATACTGCTATTACGTTTACTACTCTGGTACTTGTATCGATAATTTTATGTAGTTGTGTTAATTTTATGTAGCAGATTGAACCAATATACACGTATACTAGATCCGACCTTACACTTTATTGATTGGAAGACAGACGTGCATATATTTATTATTTAACACAAAAGCTTTGGAGATAACTTATTCCTGTTAGCAAGCTGTCTATAAAATCTGATTCCTTCTTCATAATCTTATCTTATTAGCTGTGTTTACAAGAACTCCATCCAGATTTGCCTAATAAAGACAGAGTATAGAACTGAAAGACTTTGTATATTAACTGACAGAGAAGCTCACCAATACTCACTTTATCTTATTGATCCATTCATGGATCCAGAATTGTTTTTCTTCACTTTGTTAAATTATGACTCAGTGGTATGCATTATCCAGCTTTTATACTAAATGGATCCATGTATGAATACGAAGTATGTGTTGAGATTTATTGAGCAAAGAAGACAGACTTATGCAAACTCACTTCATATTCTCCTATTTCGATTAACCCAAGAGAAACAAATTTATACTACTTTCTGTACCTTAATTTATGAAATTAAGCTTTGATCATAAAAACGACAATGTAACCATCGTATTATGCTAAATGACAAATGAAGATAAACTCTACCTATTGAGAAAGCAGGAACATTTCATAATGAGTATAATAAAAGTTTACTAACATGGTTCACGAAAAGTTATTTTTAATATTTTGGAAACCGATTCATATATATGTATATATATAACCATACTTAAGTTCGATGTTTTCATTACCAGGTCAGTGTGAACTCTCACGACACTCTTCTGGTTGGGAACTTTATTAGTGAGTGTTATTACCGTCGAATTTTGTTTTATTTTACTTTTTTAAAATAGAAACTCAACTGATCAAGAGATTAGTGTTAAAGAAGTAACGACAAGTTTTATTAATCAATTAGCATCTGTTAGCAAAATTCAAAATCAGTCAAACTTCAATACAACGAACAACAATCAGTACAGTGAGCACTTTAAAAACAGTTTGGTTTGTTGTATGTATATTAAAGTTATACATAATTATTAATAACAATGTCCTAAAATACACGTAAGAGATTTATCTTTTCTTAAAAGTAATTTTGACTTGTCATTACATGTTAATTCATTTGATTTAGTAACAGAGCATAGACACTGAGATACTGTACTTTTTATTTCGATGGTGTACATTAACAAAATTTATCAGATGTGATCACTGTTTAGAAGCTGTTAATCTTCAATCACTTCATAGTGTTTGATTGTAAGAAATCACATTAAATACAAATTGTAATAATTTAACTTAGATCTGTTTGAATGAACTTTCACAGTAGAGCTGATATTTAAAAAAACGGACTGTTAACATACAGACTAATACTGATCGATTCATTCGAAGTACAAACATATTCATCATATAAAACTACCTTTCCCTTATATATTTTCTAGTAGAATACTAATATTATGTTATCAGAAGAACCAAAATATATGAGGCAAAAGATTTAATAAAATGCTATTCACTTAAAATCAAATGAAACATAAAAATACCAGACTAAATGATATCATTGTTGTACCACATTGTTTTAATTTCGATTCCCATTGTTAGTAGGAGATTTGAATACTGAAAATATTAAGCCATATTAAGTAAAACTAATAATAAATTTTCACAGTTCATGACAAATAAATGTTATCTTTCTACTAAAGAATTTACAATTTCCTCAATTAGTTTCCCTATATTACAAAAGTATTATGATATATATTTAGTATACTTCTATACTTAAATCTATGTTATGTGTTGATCAAAATAAATATGTTCACAAACGTTTCTATGTATAGCGAAACCTATTTACTATGGGTTAGAAGAAACTGATGGATTGTTTATTACCATATTACTGAACTCATAATAGGTGATATAATAAATGTACATAAGATAAAAGGTGTTGTTTGATTAATCCTGGTTAAAAATACTCTTTTTGCGTGTCAATCAAAAGATAAGATTAAACGTTGATATAAGGCGTATTTAAACCTGTCCAACAAACATCAATTTCTTTGAATCTCCAGCTGTGAATCAGAGTTCCAGCCCTCCCTCTGTTGGGAACGAGTGAATTAGATTTTTAGTTCATTCAGTCAAAAATTAAATTATGTATTGCTAAATAAATTATATTATCATAGGAATCTGTTAAGCATAAAAGAATATACATTTTCATTCATTTTCTTAAAATAAAATATACTATTAAATAAAATATGACCATATAGTTTACCCAACTTGAAACTTGATGTTTCCATCTCAGCTAAAATGTTGACTTCTACCATGATTCTAAATTTTCTTCTGAATAAGCAAATTAACCTTCTTACTTACATGCAATAATAATATATAGTTATATTTAAACAGGTCGAAAATTCTAAACAGTTGTAAAGGTAATATAAAGTAATAATGACTATTAGCTACTAAATTTCTGTTCAGTTAATAACATCTCTTCACAATAATGCTTTAGCTTATATAACAGCTATGTAATACACTTAATGCGATAGGCATATTTCTATCAATAAAAGTGTAAACGTTCAAATTCTTGGTGCTGAATATGATAAGATTATTGATATCTACAGTTGTTAGAGAAGAACATTTTTAATATTATTTATGTTTGACAGCAGCAAACATATTTTTAAACCAAGTTATTTTCAACAAATTACTCAGTTAGTCGAAAATAAAGATGAATATGTTCAATATTAAAGCTTCCTAAGTATTCTTGATATTTGTTTTGGTCTAGCTCAGCTGATTAAACATTAAAAATATATACAGAAATTGAAACTAATTACATGTCAATAAATAGAACATTTTCACATGAAGTTACTTTATTCTAGAAGTTCATTGTTAAGAAGAAATGATATTGTTTCTAATTTGTTTTTTTCTTCATTCATTAGTGATATCATTCGAGTTGAATAAAGACAATAAATATGGTGAATATGTTGCTCATTTTGTTGTAAGTGAACTTTAAAGTGTTAATCTCAAATATATGTATATATATATATATATATATATATATATATATATATATATATATATATATATATATATATATATGTATATATAATAGTTTATTATTTCAAAACGTTTTTAATCATTTCGACAAACAAAATTACTTGGAAGTTATTTATGATATTAAGAAACAGGAAGTGATCATAACGAGTTCATAATGAACAGTATTGTTTGAACAAACATGAATTCTTCATACATAGCATAATATTTAGGAAACGTGCATAACATTTAAAGCTTGAAGATGAATATAATACATTGCTTGTCGTTCTGAGTGTACTTATCTATTGTGATTTTTTTTTCATTTCATGTGTTTAAAACAATAAACTGTGAAAAATATATTTTTTTTAAAATGTACATTTCTTTAATAAGATCTAACGACAGTTATTCATTTGACAACTGGTAAGTCAATAGTTTTGACTTTGCATTCATACAACGCATTTGGTTTACAATACAGTACATATTAATAGCAGGGATGAGTTAATAGATAAAGTGATAAAAATTATTGTTTCTACTTTAAAAATTGTCATATAAGAGGCAATCGTCTTAATGAATGTATTTGAAAAAAGTTCACTAAGTTTTAATCCATAATTTCTTTTGAATACAGCTACGAACCCATATTGCAATATTTTAATACGCGATCAATGTTAAGAAATCTCTCTTTCTTGAGAGAGAGAAAGAAAATTATATTCCTGTATATCGACTGGATTCTGTGACATCCGTTGTATGCCTTACTTCCACCTTGACAAATAAAGAGATCACCGTTCTAACATTCTAAGTTTTTTCACTAGTTGCTGATAATAGATAATAGTGACCTCTGTCCAATTATTCCAACAATTTTTTTGTGTAAAAATAAATAACACGAATGGTCTTACGCTGTATGCGTTTAAACGCCTTCTCCCATAATTTCTAAGTGATAATTTTGTCATCCGTGTCATTCTTAATAATTTGATAATGGTACCAACATTAAATTCAGAGCTGCTATTGATTCTTTCATTTCATAAAGCTTTAACCCACTCATCAAGTTTAAGTTCAAATGCATTTTACAATTGAAAAGAATTTATTGAAGATTATTCTTAATTAAGTTTCTCATGAACTGGAATTGTCAGAAGTATCATTTGTGATGATAATAAAATCCATATTAGACATTTTAGGTATCATGATGTAATCACAAGAACGCTAGAAACATTTTCTCATATTGTAGTTCATAGTAATAACGTTTATGATCTTGGATAAATAAACTGTCTGGAAAATATATAAATGAATAGTTTCTTAAATACTTATTAGCTTTTATTATTTAAATAAGGAAAATCACTGTATAAATTTAGTACACTTATCTGAAATCTAGTATATAAGTGAGAGCGAAAGAAAAACGTTACATTATTAATAGATATATAATACAATATATTTTAAAAGTTACATATATTAAATTTGGACTTTTCTTAATTTTCGTTCCACTCAAAGCACTAGATTTTAGCAGGAACAAACGCTCATTGTTCATTTACTTTTTCATATTCCATTTTTATTACAATAGACTATATGCGCTGAGGATAGTCATCCATCAGGTTTGTTTGCGAAATGGCTCATTGTGTAGTGTCGAAGTTTCTACCATATTCATTATATCTTCGCACTTCATTATTTAAGACAACAATATTAGATAATATATACTGAAAACATACGGATCGTCAACTTCATTTTAATAGTCCTCAAAGCTGACCGAATTCGACTAATCAAGATGCTAAAAAACAACTAGACAGAGTTTTATTTGCGCAACAAGGTGCTAAAAATGTTGTTGTTTTCTCATTATATATCAAACAGAATACTCAATCAAATTTTGGCAAAAATACTAACCAGCTAAATACATCTACCTCAATCAAGCAAATTCAGACAGCTTACAATAAGGTCTTTACTGAGATGTTCGCCATACCTTTTAATTTAATATTGATGCGTTTACATCTAAATTACTAACCAATTACTAAAGCGTCACAGATAATTATTTTATAGTGATAACTATTGTACTAACTAAATAATTTAAGCTATTTCATGTCGAAATCTGTGCATTCTATTTGCCAATCTAGATGATTTTGGAATCACTACCGAAAGCTCACCTTCACAAGGTACAACTGCTCAAAGATCAGGTGTGTTCTTCTCCAATGGATTTTTAATGTGTTTGAAATGCTAAGATATTATGAGTAATTTAATTACTTTGCAAATGGATGATAAATGTTAACTTCAAATAACTTTATAGTTAACTTTGATTTCTGAGAATATCATTATGCGTATAATATTCAACCATAATAAAGAATACTACTCTTTCTTCTATGGTTTGCATTTAAAACCTTAGCTGATACTTTAAAAATCTATGCAAAAGTGGGGTTATTAGAAATTCTGGAATACTACAGTGCAAATTATTTAATTTTGAATAACTTATTCTTTGTGTTACCATTTGGTTTTTACCTCGAATAGATTTGACAACACTTTAAATGTAAACTAAAAATTCAAAATAAGCTTGGTAAGAACTAATTATAAAGCGTGAATTCCCCACCCCAAGGCTTTCTTGTGACATACCCCAGGTTCAACAATCAAACTCCCAAGTCAAAATGCTTACGAGTATGAAATATTCGGTGAACCTTGCAATCATCATGTAAGAAAAGTGGTTCATCTCACATTCTTATCATAACAAACATTCTCGATGAATTGTGATCCATAATTCACAATTCGCTAATGCTCTTTTCATTGTTTATATATCACATTGTTGATTTGTGATGAAATGAAAACACTTGATTACTTGCCACACACAATTTAATCGACCACTTTTCCATACAGCTAGGCAAATTTATTAATCATGATAAAACTTGGGTCATTATGCTCGTTCTTGGAAATCACTTTTAATTTATGCCAGTCATTTTATTCTTATTTAACATTGCCATAAACCAGAATGACTCCTTAGATTTAGACATTTTTATGAGAAAGATAATCAAGAATGAATAATTCATCTTTCAGTCTCCGTTACCATTGTATGCGTAAATTTTTTATAATTCATTGGATGCTTCTTTACCATCTGTTTGTTTATATTTTAACAGCTTTCGTCTACACTGAATCGAATTATTCGTCTGGAACAATTCAATGAATTCTCATCAACCTCATCACTTTTAAAGCAAAGATATCCATGTTGCAGTCAGGGTGCAGAAGCTTCAACATGGATAAGCCGTGAAGATAATGCGTTAATTCTTAAGCTTTGTGGTAATTTACCTGACTGATTACATACATACTTTACGCACTCATTTGTTTTAAGTGTTGAACAAGGAGTACTTTGAAATGTTTCTCACTAAATATTCATTCTGAAAATCCCAAATGTAATTATTTTATTATGGTTCCTGCCAATTAAACATCATTCTGATGAAACAGTTACAAAATGTATGGAAAGTTTCAGTTAAATTGGTGGTCAACAGTGAAGAGTTCTAGATGAGCATTGTTTAACTATATTTTTATACAATTTGATACTTAATTGATTTAACGTTTCAAAATTAAAATAGATATTGTTATCATTATGGAAACACCACTGATTATACTTAAACACTCCGGAGGTCTAAATAAACAGAAAACAAACATTCTTCTTTAAACGTAGGCTTTATTAAACAGAATACAGAACTATGAAATTTTTAAGGCTCAAAAGCCTGAAAAACATATTACCTCTCATAGTAATTTTTCATGAATCCACTACTATCTTTCCTGTTAATATATTCGAACAAAGTATTTTTATGTTCTGGTATCTGTGTATTCGTTGCCGTATTTAACAAACAATAAAAACTATCTTTATTTCGAACTAATATATGTGTCTCACTAGTCAATAAGAATGACATAGAAATGTTTTGTTTTAAGAAACATGCATAATGACAAAAATCAAAACAATTTTTATTGTTTATTGACATTCCATTTACTGTTTTATTAATTACTAAACAGAATCACTTTGGGATAAAGAAGCGAATCGTTTACAACATAAAGTTCTTAGATATGTAAGTTAACATTTTTCCTGCTTCCTTGATAAACAGTTAACAGTTATATATATATAACAAATAGAAAAGAAATTGTCTACGAAGCCTCATATTAATGAGATTATAGTTGATTTAACTCACAAATCTCTTTTTCTGCAAACTAAGAATTTTTAAATTACAATGGTTTTGTTGCTAAATTTATATCATTAAATACTTCAAACTTATTTCTGATACTTTGAAGCCCTCTTGAGGATTAAAAGTGCTCCCTCTATTTTCTTCAAATTTTTTTCTAAACCGGTCAGTTTTAAAACATTTTTCTTGGTTTTATATGAGTTTTAGGTTATAGGAAATTTTAAAGTAGTTGTTCAACAAAGTAGTGTAGTGTAATAAAACTGGAGTACCAGGAAATCAAACATCAATTGTTTTATATTTGTTATTTTTGTTAGCAGAAATTTTAAAGTTAAGTCAAATAAACATAAGTGCTTTAATGAAATATTGGAGGTTTGCTTAATTCTTACTCAAGATATACATCCAATAAATGAATGCATATTTGTTTTTAGATAATGGAGCGTACAAATTCAGAAAATGGTTTTATCGTGATGCGAAATATCGACACTTCAGAGTTGGTTTGTCACGTAAGTATTTCCCTTACTTTCAATCCCATCCAGTTTAGCTGAGAAGATTTAATTACTTAGCTAGTTTATTTGAAAAAGCTAGGTACTAACCTAATGTTTAGTTTTTCTTCACCTTTCTATTCCATCCAAAACAATCTTATACATCGGTTGTTTAAAACTTACAGCAAGGAAAATAAAAACTTAACGATGAAAACCTCAGATGTGCTATTTTTGATTGATAGATGTCTCAGTTATTAAATTCACAAAATGTACTGAACTTTTACGCAATACATATCCTTTATTCTTATTGACATTAAACCAGAAACAGATGTTTTAATATAATTGTTCTTCCAATAACGGGTTTCATGTTTCATTACATATATATATGAACAGATCATCTGTTATTGATGTATGACAGCTTACGGATCTATATGAATATACTTATTCATTTATTGAATAGTTATTAAGTTTGGCTTACAATTGCTACTTTACAAAATAGTTTCATTTTGTTTTACTTTATCATTTTTCAGTGTACTGGAAATGAAATATTCGATGAATCTACATATATTGAAGTAAGCATGGGTATTATTTCATTATTTTGTATTTGTTTTAAAACACGGAAGAATAGAATATTTGAAATGGTAATTATGATGAATTTTAGTAAATGCAATGTATATTACATTTTCAAGATCAATATACTCTTAAGTAAATCACATTATGAATTTTCTTGATTATTACTGACAAAAATAAGTAATCATACCATACAGTTAGTTTCTCTGATGAACTTTTGTAAAGAATAAGCGATAAACTTTATATGATAAATTGGATTCATTTCATTTTGTCCGCTCTATGTAGTTCATATATAGATAGACTTGATAAATAAATGCAATTTGTTAATAACATGTATAAATTAATTTAATTCAGTGATGGGAAACAATTATAGACTGAACTTATATGAATCAGGGGAGGAAGTATTTGTAAATAACTTTGTGAATGAATTCAATAAATTTATACATTGTTACACTTGTGAAATATTTTGCTTCCTTACACAAGTCACAGTGAAAAGATTTAGAGCAAATAAAATGAAGTCAATTCACTCCATTTTTTAATGGGTTGTTATATTTGCTTTACAAATAATAATAATAATAATACTATAATTTGAATCAACCTTGATCTAAAGTAACATTCCGTCTATCTCCAATTACACCTATTAACATATACATACACGTAAAACATTAATCTAATGAAAGAAATAGCCTAGTCGAAGATAATTACGATTCACATTAGCAATTAAACATTTTCGATAGTCTGATAGTATCTATCTATGATAGTTGTGATCAGAAAATGAGGAAAGTCTTATTATTATTATTGTTATTATTATATAAACAAAGTTTAGTTGTGATATGGCCAAATTCCAATAATGTTTTTAGCCTTTGACTAACATCGACTGGAGTACGCATGAAAATAAAAAAAATTCATTAGACATTTATTTCATTTTAATGTTATTCATCACTGTTTGGTATTACCAAATAAACTGGTTTCTGTAGTATAATATTAATGAATTTATGAATGTGAACCTTGAATAAGAAGTTGGTGGAAATAATTGTTCGTTCAAACAGATTTTAACTGAAAATTCTGGGAGGGAATGAGTAAATAATAAATATGATTGTAAAGAACGTTTGAACAACAATTATGGTAACTATGAAAGAACTAACTAATTTAAATAACCCCGAAAATCAGTAAAATCAAGAAAATTAGTCCACAAACGTTAGATAGCAATATGTAATATGACGTCCGAGCAATCAAAGTTTGAATAAGTTATGAGGCAGAGATACGGAATGACTAAAATTAAACTGTTCGATACTGATTACATAATGAATAAAGTACTTTCTGACCATTCAGGGATAAACATCGTAAAAATGTTTTCTGAATACAAAGACTATAGATTTCTCTCTACATTCTTATTGTTTCTTGTAAGTACATTTAAACGTTTTCATAAAAACACAAGTTTATTTAGTAATACAAAATATTTTTAGGTTATATTCCAAAAATTTAATCAAAATTATTTAAAATCAATTAAATTATTTTATTTGAAGTGTTTCAAAGAAACGTTTAGAACGCAATAATCCCGTTGAAACTTAGTTATCTCATAGAATTTAGCTTTCGCAACATGATGCATAGTGTTTTTACATTACTTTGACCTACAATATAAATCAACTCATAAATTACTGTAGAAGGCTATTACATATTGTAGTAAAAAATATGCGTACAAAAAAATTAAAACCATAGATGTAACATTTTTCCTAAGGAATATTGTCTATTCTACATAACTGGTTTTCATCCAAACAAATATTGAGCTTGTATATGTGTTTATCGTATTTCCGCTATTTCGCACTCGTCAACAAGGTGTACCTGTAATCTTGAGGGAATTGATAATCCCTGATGGATTCGATCCCATGTCACCCAGCTTCATAGACAGATATGTTGCCGCTGGGCTATCCCGACATCATGACTACAGGTACACCTTGCTGACTAGTGTCAAATAGCGCCAATCCCAGGTCCAGGGTTTCCTGTGAACTACATTCAACCTCCATCTTATCTCAACACAGTACACGCAATGTCGAGTCATCTAGACTAGTGGTCACACTGCAATTCGTTCGATAGTATTCGATCTGCACTAAGAAGGATCTGACTCACATAACATTGATCACCACCCAATGATCAATCAATTGTGAATAATCATTTTATTTTTGAAAAACTAATTTATTGTAATGACGATAAAAAAACGTATTAATTTTAAGAAAATTTCTTCAATTGAAACTGACATGTATCATTCGCTTATTATTTAAATGTTCAAGAGGATCTAATGTTATGTTTTACATCTTCAAAATATCTTTATTTTTATACTTTTTTCAATATTTTCTTTTGTAGAATGATAGTTTTTTTAATGAAATAATGCAATCAAGAAAAACATTTAAAGCATCACAATTAAATTCAGTAAGTTGAAATAGGTTATTAAAAAAATACACTTTCATATTTTGTCTTTTAAAAGATATAAATAGTTTGATATTTACAATTTTATTTACCTGAACAAAGAAAAGTAATGACTACGTAAATAATGAATAAAAAAATAATAAGACAATCAATCTAACTAATCTAACTATTACATAAAACTCGAATATCATTAATTATTCTAAAAATTAAGATATTACATAATTAAGTGATTACCTGAGCTTTCATTGTCAATTCCATATAATTAGGATGAAGAGAAGTTATTTCTACACGAGGATCCGAATTTCAAATAACTTAATTCGTTTACTGATTAGTACCTAGAATCAAGATTTATACAAATTTGATTCACTTAACAAATGAGATATACCAAATCTTAAAGAAAAGACAGTAGTAAAATTGTAGTACCAATATTCAGAGACACTTACGAAATATAATATTCCATCATCAATTGTATTATACGTTTTAGTAATGTATATTTACCATTAAAACTTACTGCACTCAATGTCCATTGAGTTATAACTAATTAGACTGTTAACCAGTAAATGTAATAAGTCTCGCGCCAGGCCCTTACCCAACTAGACCACTGAGCCCGCATCCAACTGACTGATGATTTCAATCTGTGAAATTTCTAAAAATCTCCACAAACCCCTTCTGATAATAATCATCTGCTCACCAGTGGCTGACTTCAAGAGATACTCCTGGAGTTCTAGTGAGAAGCCGTTACCAGTGGAGTTCGACCAGGTCTGTTGTGAGATATCAGCTTACTGAAGACAATGGCGTACGGTGGCGCGACTTCGTGGATTGGTTGAAGTCAGATACCAACACCATTGGATGCCTGCTCAGTGGTCTAGTTGGTTAAGTGCCTTACGCGAGACTGATAGGTCCTGGGTTCGAATCTCGCGGGGTGCGGGATCGTGGATGCGCACTGCTGAAGAGTCCCATACTAGGATGCAACGGCCGTCAAGTGCTTCCAGGTTTTCCATGGTGATCTAGCTTCACTTGACTCATGATTTCAATCTGTGAAATTCCTAAAAATCTCCACAAACCCCTTCTGAAAATGTAATAAGTATCTGTCAAGATTTTTGATACAAAACCCAAAATTACACTAAAATACTGTTTTAAAAAGTCAGTAATGTAATTTATATTAACAAAAAGTAGTTTGGTTAAGAATGTTTGAGACCACTGAAATAATCATTTTCTGATCCAATAGTAAACTATCATGGTTATGTGAAGAAATTAGTAACTCCAACTTAATTACAGTGAAGCTCAAACGATAAACCCTATGATTTAGTATTCAAAAGTATGTTTATCCCACGGATTTGAATGCTTACTTTACTGTTATTCAGGTTAAAATTGATTTGCTTTACAGTTTTCTTTAAATTTCTGTTAAAACTTCAGAGATCAATCAAAATCTTAAGTGTTTCACTCAATAGGTATTGAGAATGATTACGCGGTGTATACCGTTTCCTTTACCAAAATACAATGTAAATGTTTTCAATGCACACCTTAGTATTTTATTTGTTTCATTGCTGATATCAAATGTATTTAAAGTAAATATTTTCACTGAAATCAAATATATATTCTCTGTGAATATAATTTTACAGGAAATGTTTTTTTTTTAATTTTTAGGAACAAGAACATACTTTATTATCTATTCTATCAGTTCGTAATGCATATATGAATAATGAGAATTATATAACTAATCAAAATACAGATATTCAAATTCATTCAGTTTTGTGCAGTCCAGTGTTTACTCGTTCTAGTGATAACCCTATTGCAGTTGTTTGTTTGATCAATAAAAGAGATTCTCAGTAAGTCTTAGCAATTATCTATAAATAAGAATGTATTTATAATTTTTTTCTATTAAAAACATGTATACACTAAAGTAATCAGTATTATATACTTAAGAGTAGATATTGATTACAACGTTGATTGAGAATACTCTGTCAAGTCAATGTAAAACGTCCTATAGATATCGACCGAAATACGATTGATAATTTACATTGGACCGAATGATATTGATAGCGATATATGTTCCATAGTTTAAATATGTTTTATGCTCAGAAAGATGTACGATTTATTTCTGGGTTGAGAAAGTGGACATTTGCATGACTTCTGATTTTCTCATTAACCAAGTTATGCTTAAAATATTATTACTGAAAAATAAAATTACCGAAAAATCAATAATCCAGCAATCAACTTATCTTTCAGCGAATCAATCTTGTTGTTAATGATTTCAATGTTTCCTGGATTTAAATTTTTTTGCATATAATTTGATTTCAGTAAATTTATTCAAAAAAGTGAAGAATGATAAAACCTAGTTGGTCGGAATACATTATTTCAAAATATGGAGACTTTCGTAAAAACAAAAATAAAGCCTTTATCTATCACTAACTTTATACTCAGGTTTGGTATTCCAAAAGATATTATTACATACTTCAGTATCATGACTGCCAATATAGTTTTCTTAGATTACAATTCATAAATCGTTTCTGAATTCAAAAACACTGTATGACCGCAAAAGCTTTTTTTGAACTAAGAGTTAGACTGTCTCATAGATAATTTCTGTGGTTCAGAGCGTTTCAGAATAAAATCCTAGCAAATATTGCTTAAGCAATTAGGTTACTTTCAGACTGAGAGATTCATGGATATCCTTCATTGTGAACTGATTTTAATTAAACTACCATTACAAGGATCATTAAAAAACTGTATTGTTCCGAATGTTTCGTTTTTGTGACTGCAAATTATGTTGAGTACATTGGGGGAGAATATTGATAACCTTGTCCTTGGCATTGGTCGTGTAACTGTCACTCACTCCTGATGGGTTATGAGAGATTTGGATAAGATATAACTTGGTCTACATAAAGGTGCACACATCACATACTGACCGAAGCAATGGTTATTAGAATCGATCGAAGCAAGCAATTATAAGTCTTAAAAAAACTATTTAGAGGTTAATTTTGTCCTGAATACAGACAAGGTTAGTATCAAAAGGGTCTCGTGGGTACAATTGATTCATGATCTCAACTACTAAAATTACTATAATATCCACAAAGTCCCTTCTGACACTAATAGACATATGCTCACTAGTGATTGGCTTCAAGAGGTATTTCCTGGAGTTCTAGTAAGAAGCAGTGACCAGTGGAGTTCAATCAGGTTTGTTGTGAGAAAGTAACTCACTGAAGACAGTGGTGGACAGTAACGCAATTTTGTGGATTGGTTGAATTTAGACATTAACACTGTTGGATGCCGGCTCAGTGGTCTAGTGGTTAAGTGTTCGCACGCGAGACCGATATGTCCTGGGTTCGAATCTCGCGAGGCGAGGTCGTGGATGCGCACCGATGAGGAGTTCCATTCTAGGACGAGACGGTCGTCCAGTGGTTCCAGGTTTTCTATGGTGTTCTAGCTTCAATTGATTCATGATCTCAGCTACTAAAATTACAGACAAGATTCTACGAAATTAACAAAATGTTCTAACTGCTTTTTTTAACACATCAGTTATGCTCTTGCGATGTTTGATTTGCAATAAGCTCAAGCTTCTTACTAAAGATAAACACAGTTATCTACAGCCTGTTATATTTCATGTTCAGAGACTAGTTATTTATCATGTGCAAATGATAAAGCTTCTATTTGTCTTTATTATTTACACAAACAAATTATTGGAAAAAACACGTTATGCAAATAAAACCGTTGACAAATGTCATCAGCTAGTTATTTGTTTTTATAACAGTTAAGTATATAAAATAAGAAGTTTCAGCAATAATTAGCTCACATCAACGAATGTAAAAAGAGGTCTATTTAAAAGTAAAAAGAATCATATATTATTGAAGGATATGTAATAGCTAAACAAATTGACTTACTACCAAATATCAATATGTAGTTTGTAAAGTATGTTTTATAAGCGTAGAACATAAAATGCATCCTAGGCATTAACAGATGGAATATGAATATTTAATATCATCATTGAGAAAATTGATGTAAATAATAAGTATATCAAATAGTTGATGATAATTATTTAATATATAATAAAACTGAATTTAATCCAAAGTGTAGTGTATAAACATATATGAAGGAAGATCATTGTAAAACATAATTCAAATTGTCCAGATTGTTGTTTCTACATTTTGAAAGGATTCAGGATCTGGATGATACCATAACTGAAGTTATACAATAGAATAAACTAAATAAGTTTTATTTAAGGGGAATTCTGTTGAAGTATGCTTTATTCAAAACATCTCTTATTTATGTGCTAGTGATCAACTACTGGGAAATATGAAAAAATACACTGAATAACGCTTCCTATTCAATTTTTTTTTCTTCTAGATTTACACAATCAGACGAGCGTATTATCGAAGAATGTTTTCGTTTTGTTGCACCTATCCTCTTAAGCTCATTGGCATATCAAAACGAACGTTACATAAGAGATAGAACTGAAGTAAGATCACTATGGTTTAGTTCAAAAATTGTTTATCATTAGTTGTGTTAACATGTATTTGCTTAAAAGCAGTTTGGTTTAAAGGAGAACTCAGAGTAATAAAAATATTTGACAATAAAAATTGCGATCAAAAAAGGAAAGCAATAAATGTTTGATTGAAATAAATTTTCAAATAACATTCGTCTTATACGATAGAATACACTCATTAAACTAGAGAATATGAAACATGAAACTCCTCGTTAATGTCTCATATTAACTCGGCGCCCAAATATTGTGTAACTATTCGTTCAAATTTAGACGAAAGTTCTTATTTACACGAAACATTAGTTTAGTAAAGAGAAAGCTTCTTAGAGAATTGTTTCAAAAAGGATGTTTAATCTCGACTATATACTTTTCAAACTGACAATTCATAACGTATTTGTTGTTAATAATAATTTCATGAACACGGCAAGTGAGAACCAAGATTAACGGAAACAATAAAACGTTGGTGTTTTTGAAGACCTAAAACGTAGTTGTTAAAACATCGACAATCGATTATTAATATAATAGAATTTAGATAACTATTAATCACGACAATCAGTTTTGTAATATGATAAAATAAATTCTGAAATAATACGTAATTAGAAACGACATTTAAAATAGAAATAACATGGTCAAAGGTAAAAGATTAATAGAGTAAAACAAAAGGTGGGGTGGATGATTTGGAGAACCGAAGGATATAACTGTGGTAAAAGAAGTGTTTTTTGTTTGTTCATTCTTGTTTACCCCATTTGTATATATATTTCTCCCAATGTGATTATTATTGACTATGATTCCAATAACTTTGTTTTTAAATCGTTAGCTTACTTCTCAGGCTTATAAATTCGTACATGTTATCATTTTGTTATTAATTCTTATATATATATATATATATATATATATATATATATATATATATATATATATATATATATATATATATATATATATATATATATATATATAAATGTCCCTTATTAGATTAATATTTTTCATATTTGGATATAAATATAACTACATTTCAGAGTAAACCCTGATGAAGACCCAACTATAAACAAACATGTGTTATTCGTATTAACACTTTATGAACCTGAAACATTTTAATAAGTATTTATTATTTAAAGAAGTACATATATAGTGTTCAGCTATCGAAAATACAAACGTATCAAACTTACTATAATACTACAACTCAATTTTCTTCTGTACAACATTTTCGAATTACTGCAAGATGACAAATATAACACGTTGAAGATATATAGCAGACTTAAAAGCCGTATGAAACGCAGGGCTTCAGTTTCTAAATTGTCCATTATTAGAAAAGGAAAACAAAGTGTTAGATCTATTTATCACAAAGAATTATCCCATTATGATCTTAGAGTTGTTATACTTAATATTGGAAAGCATGATGATTAGCTTAGAAAAAATTCCGATTTCACAAGAATGATAGTAAACGTGATATCGAACCAAATGTTTTTAATGATTTCATGATAATATATCGAGCTAAAGAATCTCTAGCATTAAAGTATACAACAATTGAAGATGAGTAAACTCGGTATTGGAAGAGTAGTTCTAACTACAATTTATTCAGCTAAAATCATTTTTTTATTTATTCTATTTCTGTTAACAGGTAAACTAAAGAGTACAAATATCTTATTATTTATTTATTTGAACACATAAACATTGATACAAGGAGACACTAAGTAGATATGCGACACACAAATCATTTGATTTATGTGAGGGCTTAAATACTACTCGGGCGCTCAAAACGAAACAGGTGGTTTTCCTAGGGAATCACACCTTAAGCTTTCGACTTAAAGGTCTAATCCACAAGGCAAGAGATGCAGTCCAATGGTAGCCGGTGGACAACGATTGGTTCATATGCCATTTGTTCTTTCAGGATGCTGGAGCCCATGTGCATCATTGGTTCGGAATCAGGGTTTTTCAACTCCCCTAGGTGGACTCTCTATGTTCATCAACCCCGTGAAAGCTCCGTATACTCGCTTTTCGTCCTTTCATTTTCGTAAACAACACCCACGCGGCGAGAAGGCAGTAAGTAGGACTTCCCTATCAGTGCTTGTATGCATGTGGTCATGTGAGAGCATTTAGAGACAAAGAGCTGACTTTCCCCACTCTCGGCCGTACCAGGGCATTTGGGGGCTGTACAAATATCTAGCTGATCATCATCAACATACTTTTAACTTCTAGAAAATATTAATTCTTCCAAACAATCAACAATTGTTAACTTTATTATGATAATAGTATTTTCAAAATTCCCATTTTCTCATATTTTCTTTAATATTTTCTATTTATAAAATAAATAACAAAAAAATCACTGAATTTAGGATATGCTTAAAGTTGCAAGAAATATTTTCACTCATATGATGGATTTAACAAATCTTTTATTGAAAATAATGCAAGAAGCTCAAAATTTAACCAAAGCTGAAAGGTTTGTTTCATTTATTTAGTTGTAGATTATTCAATAGTTAATTAATAAATTACTTTTTCTATAATCACCTATAAATATCACAATTTCGTGGTGGTGGTGGGGGGAGGGAAAATGAAATTTATGTGTAAATCGAATAGTTTAGTGTAGTAATATCAATTTTCGAAACTAGTAATTTCGATTTTTTTTGGATATTGATCACTTTCTTCTATCCTCATTCCGTTTTTCTGAGTTGTTATTTGACAACTAGATATGGATATAAAGTTGTGAAGTTTAGGAAAGAGTCATCTATCTTTCAATTATTACTGACATTCATTTAAAATATTTATACTATAATTATATGCATTAAACGAATGTTCTGAAGATAAGTTGACTTCATAAAATTGTTTAGCGATATATTAGAGTTGGTGATCTTTTGAAATTCATGAAGCAAGAATGCAAATAGTTCATTCTGGTAGATTGTAATTTCCGAATCTAAATAAGTTCACTTCGGATTTAAGATAATAATTTAAGTTTTCATAAACTTAAAAATTAAAATTTATCGAATAAAAAATAACTGCTCTCAGCTTTTGAATAACTCATCTCATTGCGCAGTCAACATTTGTACCTGGCTAAAACACCACTCTGTGACTAAAAACATTATCTACTTTGTATCGAATATCAAATTCAAATAATTTAATGTATGAGTTAAAATACTAGCAGTAATAGTATTTGCTTTAAATGTTTTTTTTTCATACATTTTGAATGTTAGTGAAACTATCAAACAAAGTTAAACAATTTAATTATCTCTAACTGAAAAATGTCATAAAGATTTCAAACCGATATTTCTCAAATTTTGTTTACAGTTAAAATCACGAGTCGATCCAAGCTAGACTATCATTGGAAACCTATGAGTACTGGACAGCCGTCTCGTCCTAGTTTGACTCTTCAGTAGTGCACAATCACCACCTTGCATGCTTGACTAGAACAAAGAATCTTCAATATTGCACGTAAACTCTTAAACACTAGACCACTGAGCCGGTTTTCAACGGTGTTGATGTCTAACTTTAACCAATCCATGATCTCGCTCAACTTTTCATCCATTGTCTGAGGTAGATAACTTGCTCAAACACGACTTGAACTGAACTCCGATAGTCACGGAATGTCACTAAGACTCCCAAAAATCCATCTTGAAGCTAGTCACTAATGAACGCGTGGGTGCATTTTGCTGAGGAGTCCCGTACAGGACCGAAATGACCATTCAGTGCTTTCAGGTTTTCACTACTCGACTCGTGATTTCAACTGTGAAAATACTAAAATCTTCACAAATCCCCACACTGATATAAATTTCGTTCAGTTTGTCGGTTATTACTATCATCACGTAAGTACATTTGAGATTACTTTATAACTATTCTAATGTTTTTATTAAGTTATTATGTTTAATTATTAAATCAATTTAAACTGATTATTATGACAGTAACTGGGAGATGGTGCCGTCCATGATAAAGTCTTAGTGGTGAAGTCTTTTCATTTCTGCGATTTGTTTACATCATTTACATTAACCTAAAGATTAACTATGAATTGATGTGTTACCACATGATTTGAATAGTATTTACCACCAAATATATTTTTTAAAAAAAGTAGTGTATTTATTTCAGTTAAACTATTTTCATTCATTTTATGGATTAGATGCTCAGTTTTTCTGCTTGAATCAGAAACTAATGTATTAGTTGCAAAAGTATTAGATGGATTACCAACAGCTCCTAATAAAAATGTAAGTTTCATATCTTAATATAGTTGATTGTAGTACTTTTCACAAAATAACATGATAATCTCAATTTGAACAGTTGCTATATTATTATTAATTCTTTTTCATGCTATTATTCTGACTAATTGAAATTGTATAATTCATACAACAATCATCTAAATAGCATCTAAATCATATTGAACCGGCTAACTAGTATATAATGTAATAACCATGTATCAGGTATGCTTTAATACTACTGAAACACATTTTTTAAAATAATTTATGAACCCCTTGAAAGCAGCAGTTTATAGTTGTTAACAATATGAATATAATAACATATGAACTTAAATGGGAAACGAATGATATCTCTAGATGTTGCTTCCCTGTTCACTAATGTACCTTTAACTGAGACTATTAACTTTGAGTGTCAACAACTTGAAAAACAAATCAATATTGGAATTCTCGAGGTTAGTCTCAAATAATTATTTCTGAAATGTACAGTGAATGTTCATTCTGTCATTAATAACACATATTAAATATAAATTGATGGTATAGCTTTGGGTTCACCTCTAGGTCTTTTCCTCGCGAAACTAGAAAATATACCTCTCAAAGATGTTATTGATAATAATAATTCGTTTACCGTCGATTAATTATGGGACATCACTAACAAAAATATCCATTTTCAAGCATTTGCAAAGGTCATTGATCATTCGAGAGGTTGTACAGTTTGACATTGCATAAATAGTCGAAACGATAACAATTGTCTTTCTTGAATAGTATGTTTATTTCTAAATATAAAATGTTTTGTTGTAGAATTAGAGTTATTAAATCATAAGTTAGATATCATTGTAATTCATTTGGTAAAAATTCCTGACTGATCATAGATTTCTAGACCCTATATTTCAAAAGCGTACAACTTTCTTATAATTAATTTACGCTAATTATAATGATAATCATTTAAATCAAATAATTTATATTTTGGATAAGGGAATAATACTATAAAAGTTGATCTATCATATAGTTGACATTTACTTAATATATTATGCCATTTTCACTCTATCTCGTTTTTTACTTAAGATGTGAAATATGAAGGTATTGTCATTTGAGTAGAAAATTTATATAGTTGATTGTATTGCATAATACTTTTTTCTATTTTAATGATATGATTACAACTGTTCGAACTCAAGCAAACATTTTTTAACTACTTAATAGAAGTAATTTCGAGAATGTAAAGCAGTCTCAGCCAGCAATAGAACAACAAAAATGAATAATGATAACTAAATAAGAATATCTATTTTAGAATAACAATCCTTACTGTTTTAAGTAGTTAGCAATATGAATAAGATGAAATTACTCATAAATGGTTATAACAAACAAATCGATTTATTGAAGAGGAAAAATTAGGCGAATTGATTTTTAAGCGGAAATGAACGGTGGATAGCAGTGAAATTCAGGACTTGCGTTTCATCCTATTTTTGGATTAGTAAGCTGGATGTACCTGCATTCTAGAATTTGATATTCACTCTAGGACTCGAACCCAGTGTTGCTCGCTTCAAACGCTATCTCTGTATCCACTTATTTGTTGAGTCCAGATTGCCTTAGTCTTGTGTCATGAGGTGTATTTGGATTTTAATTCATATGTATTGGTTGTTTGGATCTCCTCATCGGTGTTAAGAACTAAAACTGATCAGTCTCTTTTGGCAATACCAAGGTAATCCTCACAGGATGCACATACGCCGAAAGATGCTGTTCAATCGCAGTCCTAAATATCAATGAGAATATCCAATCAACCAATATATATGAATTAAAATTAAATTGATTGTTATGAGAGCAATAACTACAATATATACTTATATATGTATGTCAATGTTTAAGAAGTGAAGGATGAGCTAAACAAGAAAATTTCTCACTCATCTATGCAAACGTTAAGATAATTAGAATTTATTTATTTTGAATACGATTATTAGATTAGAGATTGTTTATCCATAATCAACTCATTATTCTGAATAAACATACAAACTATATGTTTGCCATTTACTCCCAAGTAAGCTTACCGTAAGTGCAGTGTTTATTTCACATGATTTGATTATTCTAGATTGCAATTTATGAATCGCTATGATTCACTGGACAAACAAAAAATGTTTTTTTCTTATTCTTTAGTTATAAAAAATACTTCAAATATCTTATATTCACTGTACCATCTGGAACTGTTCGAAAATAATAATAATAATAATAATAATAATAATAATACTAATAATAAACCAAATAAAACTAATTAAAAGTCAAGGAGAAAACCATATTGTTTCCAAGAAAATTATCTGACTATAGATTTAATATAATTCATCATTAAAAACATATTTCTCAATTATACCTTGACAAAAAACATTCGTAAACAGAAAATTAATAGAAAATTATTACATTGTTTGCTTTATCTAGGAAATTCTGATAAGAATAAACAATATGTAAGGTAAATCATATCACAAGAGGTATAATAGATTATAGACTATAAATTTTGTCAACATAGTAATAATTCTACATACATTTCATGAATTTTCACAGATTGAAATCATGAGTCAGTTGAAGCTAGACCACCATTGAAAACCTGGAAGCACTGGACGGCCGTTTCGTCCTAGTATGGGACTCCTCAGCAGTTCACAGTGCGTATATGGTGGCGCAACTTCGTGGATTGGTTGAAGTTAGACATTAACACCGTTGGATGCCGGCTCAGTGGTTTAATGGTTAATTGCTCGCACGCGAAGCCAGTAGGTCCTGGGTTCGAGCCCCGCGTGGCGCGGGATCGTGGACGCGCACTGCTGAGGAGTCCCATACTAGGACGAAACGGCCGTCCAGTGCTTCCAGGTTTTCAATGGTGGTCTAGCTTCAACTGACTCATGATTTTAATCTGTGAAAATTTCTAAAAAATCCCCACAAACCCCTTCTGATTTCATGAATTCACATGAATGAGATTAAAGAAGCATATTTTTCCCTGATAAGTTATATGAAATATAAAAGTATCTGAGTATTGGGATTTATAACCATTATTAAACTGTTCACTCATAGTCGACATGACATATATGGAACAAAACAGTTCAGACGGAATATTACAGACTAGAGTTTTTTTTATTAAAACCCATATCAAAAACTATTTAGTTCAAATTTGCAAACTATTTTATTAGGGTTTATTTGATGAAATGTAACTGATACAAAATTAAGACATGATAAAAATTAACAAGCTTTCGAATCCCATGAGCGGGACCGTGGATGCGCACTGCTGAGGAGTCGCAGAAAAAGATGGAATGGCCGTCCAGTGCTTCCAGGTTTTCAATGGTAGCCTAACATCAATCAGTTCATGATCTCAATCAATAACAAGCCTTTATTCAATTCATCCGAATAATATCACCATACACCTTTTTAGATTACAATAAATAATTTCCTTACAGCTGATTTATTTTCTAACATTATATTCTACAATTTTATATAATTAGATTACATAAGAACTCCAAATTTCCGAAAATATCTTCAATGATTAATATACTTCTCGTTAAATGTCTGATATACAAACGCTTCTAAAATAAGCCAATGTGTTTATATATGTACGCACCATATAGTTTAGAAAGGTTTTGTTACATCACCTCTATATCTGTGTAAGTAATGGTTGAATTTCAATCTACTACTATATTATTTAAGACACTAAAATAATCATTTAAATTATATTCTATGATGAGGAGTTTTTATCATATCATCGATGTATGAAAATGTTTTAATCTATTTTGATATCTGCAAGAAATTGAACTAATTATGCTTCAAAACGTTTTTTGTATTAATAAAAATAAAGGTTAGTACGAAGGTTATTCATTTTAATATTTGTTGATTTGGAAATCTCATTCAAGCACTGAGTAAATCTGAACAAATATTTATTAGTAGTTAAATTCATGGGTCAATGTAAGCTAGACTACCGTTGAAAACCTGGAAGCAATGGATGGTCGTTTCGTTCTAGTATTTGACTCCTCAGCAGTGCATATCCACCATCTCGCATGCGAGCCTCGGACCCAGAAAGTTTGGCCTCGCGAGTGAACGCTACTGAGCCCTAATGCAACGGTGTTTACGTCTAACTTGAATCGCTCAATGATCTTATCCAACCATTCATCCATTGTCTGAGGTAGGTACCTGTCTCTACCTGACACACATTGGACTCCACTAGTAACGAACTCACATTAGGACTCCAGGAAATCCTTCTTGAACCCAGTCACTGGTGGTACATGACGATTATGAATAGATCGTGTACGTTCACTTCTAAGGAGTCCCATACTAGAACGAAACGATCGTCCAGTGCTTCCAGGTTTCCAATGGTGATCTAGCTTACACTGACTCATGAATTCAACTATTAAAATTACTACAATCTCCACAAACCCTCATTCTAAAATCTATATTACCTTTTTTTTACACGTTTTAACAGACACGTTTTACAACAGCAGATGGCAAAACTGTTACAGTAAGTTATAATTTGATTGACCTGTATATATATGAATACATTCTTCTATCGAATAACGATTTCTAGAAATTCGACGATATCTACTAGGCTATTTTATTAACATCACAAACTAAAAGCAAGATTTCACTTAGTGATTTGTGCATTATTCAAATGGCTTCTAAAGCAACACTGAGGGAGTGCTGTTCATATTATGCCTACTGTTTGCGCTTGGTAAATCTAATAAGAAATTGGTATTGAATCATTAGACTGCTCAAAGTTAGAATAGTGATAATATATATACATATTGGATTATAGAATAAACCTAAAAGTTATGATGAATCTACATTTTTCTTAACTTTAAAACCTTATCATCTATCATTCAAACTCTTCTTTATGGTGGGCAAACAACGAGGACAACGGCTAAATTAGGATAGATTTGGTTAAATTAAAATTCAGAAATTGTTTTATATTCAAATATTCTGACTGGTAGTGAATAGTAACCAATTATTATTCAGTGAAATGTTGAGGTTAATTTTCACACTTAGTCTCAAATTTGTGCGTTTACTATCTTTTTATTTGGCTCAGAACTTTTATGGCTGCAATTCACTAGTTATAAAGTATCGTTAAATGGCAAACCCAGTTAGCACATCTTAAAATTTTACTTTAGTGCTTTCTGATCAGCCAACATTCTTACCATTTATATTTTAACTTTTCTTTGTTCTGGTGCGAATTTTAAGATTACTATTTGAAAAGTTTAGTTCAGTCACATTTTGAAAGTATTCCTATTGAATATCAGTTACTTGATTTATTTAAGTCTACTATCTCAAAAAATCTAACATCTTAACATTGTGGGCTTCATGTCAAGTCACTTAGGCTAATGACATTGTTATTATTCAGTAGTCAATCAATCATACATGTGGTCATCCGGGATCTAAGTAACTCAGTGGTTACCTCTAAGGCAACAAAGCGAAGCGACGCGAATTATAATTCACTAAAGATTAATAGCTTCCTCATTATTACAGCTAGGCTTGCTGACAAGCATAAAATGTCAGTTCAAGATTTTCTGTAGATTATTATCAACCACCTGACAGTACTGTTTCTAATGAAAATACATTAAGTTCTAAGCTTCTCGGTAAGTTTCATATCTTCGTATTTGCATCCCTTATGAGTACCTACGCAATCGACTGGTAATTATTTACCCTGAACTATGTTGAATTATTTAACGAGAATCAGATCTGCCAGATTTGCCTGAAAGTCTCGATGTGTAATACAAGCCAATGATAAAAATAAATAAATTAGATTACTCATACTGAAAGACAATCAAATTCATTTTGATTTATCACTATCGATTTTTATTTGTTGTTTGAAAAGCACTTTCATTAAAATATTCATATTTTTAACATTTTGATTTTCATCTCATTAAAAAAAATCTTGGATACATCATTTTCAATCAAGTGATACAGTACGTTTCTTCGTTTATGAAATTAAGACTTGCTTTGTCAACTTTAAGATTAGTAGTGATGCTAAGTATTAAAAAGAACCTACTAAAGAAATGACTACTTTAAAACGAAGCACAATTTTTGAACGGTCCTAATATGAACTTTCTCAAACTGCTAATATAAAGATACTTGAAATTAGTGAAACACTAAGCACTAGATTGATGATTAATCTATTTTATAGTGTGACTCCTACATACTTTTTAAATTTTACCCGATATGAAGTTTTTCAATGTTATAATTGTTTTACATAATTATTAATTTTGTGTTTTATAGTTACCAGAAGAAATTCGACTAAGTTTAAATCAAGGCATCGCTGGATATGTAGCTACAACCGGTAAATGGTTGTCTTTTTATCTATCTATCTTTATGTATATATCAGAAAGGGCTTTTGTGGATATTTCAGTAGTTGGGATCACGAACCGATTGATGTTAGACTACCATTGAAAACCTGAAAACACTGGACGGCCGTTTCATCCTATTGTGGGACTCCTCAGCAGTGCATGTCCACGATTCCGCATCGCAAGATTCGAACCACAATAGGACGAAACGACCGTCCAGTGCTTCCAGGTTTTCCATGGTAGTTTAGATTCAATTGACTTATGATCTCAACTATTGAAATATATGTATTTATATTTATTATTAACTTTCTACCCAATGCTTAATTTATTTGGAACTATCAAGTTTAATGTCGGCAATGATATCGATAAATAACTTGTATTCAACTTATTGATTGAATTCAATGAAAATCTTTTCGTCTTTGCAAAAATCGAGCCGAATGAATTTTTTCAATACCATATTAACAATACAAATTCAGTTGTTGTTAACATCTTCATTCTATATTGCAACGTTTTATACTAAATACTTTCGAGTAAATTTAAGAAAAAAAAAGTCAATAAAATTGGTTATTTGATATATGAAAGTAAAACTGTATATCCGTAAAACGGATTCTTTCTGATACAATTCATAGTTTTTAATTATTATAATAAAAGATAGAAATCAATTTCTGACATGTTGGGATTTCATAAATGTCAATTATTCAAATAATAAACAAATATTCAAACAATTTAATTAACGAATTAGGTCAAAAAGGTAGCAGAAGTCTCATTCAAACTATAGTATAGTATGTATGTTATAAAATATAATATGATTTTACCATATAAATATGTTTGCTTGTATTGATGAGACTATTGATAGGTTATATAGTGTTTATTTGTAATTTTATAGAGAGTTTAGTTAGAATACTTCATACTCGGACAGATTGCTCAGTTTTAATGGAAAAGTGAATAGTAATAATAATATATTGAGATTTAGATGGTGGTTGGAGGTAGTCAACAGGAAACCCTGGACCCGGGTTTCATGCTACTTGGCACTCGTCAGCAAGGTGTAACTGTAATCTTGAGGGAACTGGTGCTCTCTGGCGGATTCGATCTCGTGTCACCCAGTCAGAGACATTACCACTGAGCTATCCGAGCCGCGACTGACCTCCTGTAGGACTGAGATGTAATCACAATTGATTGATCACTAGGTGGTGATCAATGTCATAATAATAATAATATGGAAATTGTAAATTGTTCGTGAACAGACAGATTTCTTTATTATATATCAATTTATCCGCAAATATCGTACTATATTTAATTTATCATCATTTTTAGGTGAACTGTTAAATATAAAGGATGCCTATGCTCATCCACTTTTTTATCGTGGTGTTGATAAAGAAACTGGATTTCGTACAAGGTTAGTTTGTAAGAGATTTTCTTATTCGCATCTTTACTTTTTTTCCAGATTTGAAAAAAAATCTGTGTTCGTTTGTTTTACTTTTACTAAACTTTAAAATTTTAGACGAAAACCTCATATAAAAAAAACTATTTATTAATTATGAATCAAGATGAATTTTAACAAAGTTAAAGTAGGTTAAAATTCACATTTTATTTGATTTTATCTACGCATTTCTGATTTTCAGTAATATTGGAGTTAGATTTTGTGAAATATTACAATTAAGCATTCCTTCATTTGATCGCTGTCTATCCTTAAAACACAAAACAATTATACTCATTATAGTAACTAGAAGTAGATACTCATTGAACAAAGCCAAATGTTTCAGTAGTTGAGATCATCAGTCAGTTGAAGCTAGACCATCATGGAAAACCTGGAAGCATTAAACGGCTATTTCGTCCTATTGTGAAACTCCTCGGCAGTGCGCATTCACAATCCCGCCTGGCAAGTTACGAACCCAAGATCTATCTAATTGTCTTCAATTTGGCTATAAGCGCTATGTGATATGGTATCTCTTGAAATATCAGATCGACTTCAATGAATTGTTTTGATCTTTTTTCTTGAAGAATAAAAATATTTCTTTTTGAGAAAATGTGTTTCATCCTTTGTGAAAATTATTTTTCTAACGATTGATATTTATTTAAACACTCAAAAAGCATAATATTTATTTACTGGTTTGACAAGCTGATATGAATCAGTCATGTGGTAAATAATTATCTGTTCGTACAATCATTCCTTCAATTTGCTTTACTCTGCTCATTTTATCTTTAGAACCATATCGTAATCAAAGTGAATGTCATTAAAATGAGTTTTATTTGTTGCTCACAAACTAAAATAATTTACTGATTTTAATTGCAATAACTTGCCTCTTATATTTAAAGTTTCATCTAAATGAAATATGTACAAAAATAATTTTTTGTTAGAAATACGAAATAAAACATGTACTACTGAAATGAAACTTATTGTTTGAGTAGGTCGAAACGACCGTCCAGTGCTTCCAGGTTTTTTCATAATGATCTAGTTTCAATTAGCCCATGGTCTCAACTATTATAGTAAAAAAAATATTTTATTGATTTCAGTAAGTATTATTCTTGAAAAAATTTTAAGTATGATCTTAAAAAACGACGAATTCGAATGACATTGTCAGAAAATCAACTTCAACTTTAGTGAAAGCTAAACAGCCTTTTTTCTATGAATATGAACTATGATATTATGTAATAACTCATTTCCTGTCAATTAACATATTTGAGAGAAAATGATATAGTTTTAGAAACTATATTATACGTTTAAGTTAAAATATCATAATTTGGCTCTAAGCTCAATTCGATAAAGCTTTTGAAATGATTTTATAACTGTATATTATAGAAGTTTCTGTCTACAAAGTTAGTGAACATAGGAAGAAGTTATATCAAAATAAAAAGAACGGAACTTTTGAAGTACATCAATTTTACCGATATTTACAAAGGATCATTTTGAGTACATCTCATTTTATTAATAATAATTATTATTATTATCATCACTATCATATACCTCACTATACCAACAAATTTATTTTATTTAGGAATATATTGTGTTTTCCAATAAAAAATGAAAAAGATGGTATAGTTGGTGTTGCACAATTATGCAATAAAATCAATCATCCTTTTTTCACAAGAGCTGATGAAGATGTAGCTAAAACATTTTCAATTTATTGCTGCATAAGTATAGTACATGTAAGTATAGACTAAATTTGAAAGAATGATTATATATATACATTTAGAGATAAGTATTTAAAAACTGAACATGCTTATGAGGATTATTGTATGTTGATAAAATTCACTTATAAAACTGATTATTTTTATTTCATGTAATGGAAAACTTGGTGTAGTTTATCGTTATGCAATGTATATTACAGTTAAGTTCATCAAATCAGATTAGGTAATAACTTTAGCATTACATTTTCCAAATATTTTTTTACAGGTAAGTATCAACGCTTTACTCAAACTTCAATACCATAAAAAGCTTCTAAAATTTAAGTGAAACGGAAAACTTTAGAGGATTTCTATTTATCTAATCACGGAAGCTTTTATGCATTGGTATTAAACTTGATATTAAGCAATATTAAGCCAAGTGTTAAATTTAATAGTGAAATTTTATTTTTTCAGAATATTGCTCCTTCTAACCAGTAAGAATTTTGGCAAACATGCAACTGACCCATTTTATTAAACTGAACATGATGAATTTAACATATGCTATTTGTAAAACCTGGTCTATATTTTAAGTGACTAATTTCATAAGATTATAATCTATTCTAGAATAAAGTTCCAGATAGTGTTTTTAAATGAGACTGTCTTCATGTGGTGTTTTAAAGGTCTTTTAAGTGCGTTTTAAGTTACTAGACTGACAAATTGACTATCTATTCAGAAATTCTTGGTGACTTTAACGTATAAGTGATTTTTTGGGATTAAATGCATTCACAGCGGGATCAGATTTATAATATGCGGTCTCTATGAGTTGTCATAACTTCTATTCAGACCATAAAGTCACAAAATCAATGTGTATTGTAACGAGGAAAATATCTAAATTCCACACGCAGAGAAAATGCAATTAAATAATTCTTACAATTAACATGTAAAACGTGAGTTTTATTTAATTCTTATCCGATGTATCAAGTCACCTTTTACAACCACTAAAATCTGCTGATCTCATTTGCTTTCAACAAACGATTAATTCCGTTTACTACAACCAGTTTCATGTTGATTACTTGTCGATGGCAAAAATTCTGTATAATTGAGATTTTAAATGTTGAAGCTGACGACTCACAAGTGTTGGAAAATGAAACGAAACTTTTACACTAATAAATCTTAATGTTTTGTAACCAATCACTAATCAATTTTACTAAAAATTCTTTTATTTGTGAGGAGCAAACGACTAAGCTGTTCCTTATAGACAGTATCGAGATTAAACATACTTGTCACATCAATAGAGACATGACATAGAGACAATGGTATAAAGAGAGAAACAAAAATCAGTGTAAAATTAAATGCTAAAACAATCAAGAATTTTCTTTATGACATTTCTCTGAACATGTTTTACTTACTTTTCAGTCGTTAATGTACAAAAATGTTCAAGATGCACAACATCGTACTAAATTGGCCAATGAACTTATGATGTACCATATGAAGGTAAACATAAAATTGCGTAATGCATTTATTTTTTACAAAATGTACAGAGCAATTAAAGTGAATAATATGATTATCCTTTATTAATTTGTTATCAGCGCAACAAATTAAAATACTGAGACTTCATTTAACCTGTTATGATAACTAAATGATATTATTTAGATGGTTAATTGATTTAGCAGATAAGATGAGTACATGTAATGTTTAATTGACCTGGTTTACTGAGAAGTTAAGTTGTATATATATTATTATTTTTTATAAAGCGATTCTGACGTGTAAAGAAAAGAAATAGATATACTAACGTTTGCCATAAGTGTGGTTAGGAAATTCGTCCAAAACCCATTCTCCATTAATTCTAACGTCGTAATAAAGTTAAACTTTTTCCTAAATCAAGTACGCAACTAAGTATTAAAATGAAAGTAGAACGTTTAAACTATACAAAGAAGTAAACATTGCGTTACCATGTAAGTATAAAATCGGCACTTTATTTTTTGTTGTGATATTTAGACAATACATCATATGAGAGATTGGAGAGTTGATCCGGTTGACATTTTGATAGAACGAAAACAAAATAATTCTAAAAATTAAATGCGTTCATTGTTTCGACCTCTGCTGTTGAGTCTACATGAAAACCAAATGCTCGACTGAAATTAAAGCATATATAACATAACAGAACAAGCAGAAGTCAGTTAAAAGATAATTTAATTTTTTATTAAATGAGGAAGTTTCCAGTATTCAGAGATGAAAATCACCTGATTAATTCCTTTCAAAAGTCGAACAAAGTGACTGTGTAAATATACTTTTTGGTGCATAGTACCTAATGGACGTCATATACCTTCTGCTTTGGATTGTAGTAAAAAATGACAGTGAGTAATCTTGTTGACAAGAATAATCATATACACATTTACTCAAAAGTTAACACAGGAGCATTCAAACCCACAAAGTAATATGAGTGTAAATGGCACACTTTAGGAAAGAAGGTTAAAATTGTATCTAGGGCAATTTTTAACCATTTAAATTCCTATACATTTGAATGACGTGTTGCCTGTATAATCAGACTAAGTCAGTTGACAGTGTCAGAAATGTGGTTCAAACAGGTCTTACATATTTTGCTGAAAATACCTTGATTTTCATTTTAAGCCACCTGTTATATTTCAAAATGATTATAATAATCGAATTACAATACTATATTTTCAAACTGTTATTCAGAAAATCTCTTCCCATTAGTTCATAATATCTTAATAACAGATCGTTTGAACGAACGTATTAAATTTCAGCAAAATAGAAAAGCAATCGCTTATGGAGTCAAGCTAGTATTTATCCCCTACCAACATTTTTTAAGTGATCCCTTTCAGTTAACTGAGAAAAGCTCACTCAATTTAAAATCACATGAGATTGTTGTCGAAATTTGAAAGGCCGAAATAATAGGAAAAATGATATGTGTATAGACTGAATTAATTCCAAAACACACTAGCTCACTTTACATCTATGGTCATACACTAATTATTTGTTTATAACTCAGGATAAATATATACATGTCTTAGCAACCAGTGAGATAAATCTTATTCTATCTGATTTGTATGGAAAAGTGTTATTCTCAATCTGTTACGTACAGTTGTAAAAGCTGTGTGTGCACAATTTTCTAATATAATGGATACTTTTCACCAAGGAATTTAAGAAAATGTTTCATACTTCCTATAATTTGATATATCAGTAAAATTTAGTTATCGTTCAAAACGGTTTTAAAAAACTTAGGTCGTCAATAACCGATGAAAGAGCATGATTGTATTTTTTGTCTTCGACTAGGTGGATGAAGACAGAAAGAATTGGTTATCCACTTGTGAAATTAAAGATATCAATACATTTCTACCTAATACAAGTTCTTTTGAATCTTTACCAAGAAATATTCAACCTGAAAATGAGACGTATCTTGTAAGTGATTTAAATTTCAAAAATATAGCAGATTAATGTTGATTGCTATGTATGTATGTAAGTATGTAAGAAGTCATCGGACCGCTGTATTCTGTAGTTTATGATTGCGACCATTTGACTATGAAACTCTTTAATATCTTAACAACTTCAAGTGTTCATATATTCATTATTATTGTTTGTTTACTAAATATTCATGTTAGGTAGTGTCTATATCTTCATAACTACTTCCCAACAGTGTAATATAAATTATTCATATTGTCTTCAATAACATACTCTCAGGAAACTACCTTTCTGTCGAATCTATGGCTTTTTGTCTATTATCAATGTAAACTGAATTTTCCACAAAAACTTCATCACTAAGATGAATATTTTATTACTTTTAAGGAAACATTCCGCAGCAACTTGGAGTTTACTCATGTACTTAAATATATCCAATTTTATAACTCATTACTCTAATTTACAGATGATGTCATATCATATACAGTCCGGATCCTAAGTAAATGAGATGGCCGTCATATTTTGTGACACATGGATTTTTTCAGTATTCTACCATATGGATTACCGTTTATTTTGAATGCTTTTACTATAGAGTGTGAATAGTCATAAGTTCTCAAATGAGGTTAATCGGAAATAAAAAAAACGTTTCATTATAAAAATATAATTCCGTATAGCATGTATAAATCTTATGTTACAATTTATTGCACATTCGCTTAATAACAAAAATGCAAGATGTGATATAAAAAAAATAATCTCTACTGTAGAAATATGAATTTTCAAGGTGAAAGTGTATTTACTGTCTTGAATAGATACCTATCATTTGGGTCACATATTCGTATAAGCTGAATTAGAAGCAACGATAAACCTGAAAAAGAACATTAAAGTTACCCTAACATAACTTTTGAGCAACCATAAGAGAGTATTATACCTTTTAAACATGTAACTTTGCATTATAAAATACTATAGAATTAGAGTTTGCTAATAGCTCAAAGTGAAACTATTGTTATCTTGATTATCAATTATTATCTAACGATTCAGTGTTTTACTGATTTTGTTTTGACTTAAAAACTGTGAAATGCACATAATGATATATTCGTTATTTCATTAAATCATCTATGAAAAATTAAAAAGCCTTAATATATAGGTTTCTGCTTAGATATCATTTGTAAAAGTAATTAGAATTTACCCTTGAATACTTCCACCCCATTTATTAGAATTCATTCCAATTATGTTTTAATCAAAATTCATTGTTGTTATTTTTCTACTGACGATATCAAGAACTTCATATGATCCATATGACTTGAGTAAATTCCGTAATATTGCCTTAAGCTACAAGATGATCAGACTATACTACATTCTTCACTAAACCTGATGAATAAGCCGGTCTCCATTGAATAATTTAGTACTATACTAGAATCATAGTGTAAATGTTCACACAATGGTCTAAGTACATCATGCCGAACATTTCCAAAAGGGGACAAAACGTACTGTCTGAATTCTACTGTGATATACAGATTGAATTTGAATATTAGTTTTATTTGTTCCGTTCATTTATTAATGGCAATCAAGTCAAATCTAATATATTCGTAAATTATGATGAAGATACTTATAAATAATTTGGTTTTCAAGTCTATTTACAACCCTATAATTATAATGATTTTGATCGGAATAGAAGTTGACAAATTATATATCTTCAATCTTTCATCATATACTTGTTGCGAGTATTGCTAACCTCGTAAAATTCGACTGAAAAATTATCAAAAATATAAATGATTATTATCAGGAGTTTTGTGGAGATCTTAGTAATTTGATAGTTGAATTAATGAGTCAATTGGGGCTAGATCGCCATGGAGAACCTAAAAGTGGATTGGTTGGAGTTAGATATTAACACCGTTGGATCCCGGCTCAGTGGTCTAGAGGTTAAGCGTTCGCGCGCGAGACCTATAAGTCCCGGGTCTGAATCTCTCAGGCCAAGATCATGGATGCGCACTGCTGAGGAGTCTCATACTAGTATGAAACGGCCGTCCAGTGCTTTCAGGTTTTCCATGGTGGTCCAGCTTCAATTGACTCGTGAATTCAACCATAAAATATAAATGATTCGTTTGCTTTGTTAAACTATTGAAGTTATTCAGATGGATCTATAAACATAGTTCTTAAATTGGAATCATTAATACGTTCAAGAGAAAACAATAAGCCCGTGAAACTGTGCCCTAATGTTTTCATTTGTTTAACATTTTTTATGTACAATGTCACAGCAAAGATTTTAATAAAATTCTTCGCATAAAATGCATCTACGAATAAGCTTTAAAGTTTCAAGCAAAAATAAATTGAATCATTTGTATATCATCTGTACTTGTTTTTATTTAACATCAGATGAGTGTAATAAATAAATCGAATGCTTATTCAGTTAGCTAGTCTCTTTATTGATTCATTTAATCCTGACTATTACAAGCTTATAGAAGTATTGCTAAAAACATTTTCGTTTACTAGAGGATAGATTAATTGAGAAACATAAAATTTATTGTGTTTTGTTTTCCTAATTATTCGTAGTGTACATTAAGCATGTTTCATAATTTGAATTTAATTAATCGTTGGCGTATTTCACGGAGAACACTGGCTCAATTCATTCTGATGGTTCGTCGTGGTTACCGTACTCCAGCTTATCATAATTGGATGCATGCGTTTTCTGTTGCACATTTTGTTTATGTCTGTATTAAAAATTTACCATTAGCTAATAATCAATTGGATGATATTGAAATATTGGCATTATTTGTAGCATCATTATGTCATGATATTGACCATCGTGGAACGAACAACAGTTTTCAGGTAATTAAATGCGTTTAATTATTGTCTTTCTTTTTAGATTGAAACTAAAAATGATTATTGTTCCTATCAGAAAAATCAAGATAATCAATTTGTTTTTGATACTGAATTTATGAATACAATAATACTTAAAATTAGTTTATTTCTTATCAGCTTATAAATCTCCTAACGATAGTGTTTTGTTTATTTGCTACCGATCTCAAACTTTTGACAAACATTTGTAAAATAAATGGAGCTCAAAAATCTATGAACGATATTTCTGTCGGTGATCACTTTCCCTTATTACTGAGTAGAATGTCATACTGATAAATTAATTATAATAATTTCAATTAAACCAAATAATTACTTAAATCCTCTACAAAGCTGACATGATTTACATTGAAGTTGCTGACTGAATATAATTTCCGACGCATTTCTTCTAAAACTCTTTGAAATCTATACTTATTCAAACCGATTTTTCAGCTGTATATCAAACAATCTTAATTAAATATTAATTACATAAAACAAATGTAGAAGGAAAAATATGAATGTATATTATTCAGATAATTAAAATAACCCATTGCATTACTGTATAAAAATAAGAATTCAGGGAGGAAAATTCTCTTTTCGACAAAATCATTTACTTCAACTGTACATTCGTATTTATAGTTATATGGAAAATATATGTCAGTAGAAGGGTAGAAAAGAATGCATCATTAACTGATTCATGACTCTTATTATCAAATGAGGTTACGCAGTAATCAAGAGGTAAGAAAAGAATATAGGGATTGAAAATGATTTACGGGTCAGATAATTGTCCAATTGACATAAATGAAGAAAAATGACAAACATAAAAGTCATAATCACCAGGAAATTTTGATGGAGTTTTGTTCTTTGGGTTTTATGGTTTGGTTGTGGAGCTTTCTTCGTTCTTCTGAACGACATCATCATCACAGACTTCAGGAAGGGCGATTCACCAACTCAAGCCCAATTTTTTCGTGCAAAACCGATTCGTCCAACCTCTCATCCTTCCTTGGCTCTAATTTTGTTTGGTAGTATGTTCCGTTTTTTTTTACTTTTTCGCATTTTTGTTTGATCATTATTGATTTTTTAAATTAGTGTTTAGTAATTTTACACTGTAATCAGTTATTATTATTACTACTTTTAAACAAGTTTCCTTGATTGTTATTCGGTTTTTATTATTATGACCTTTATGTTTGTCATTTTTCTTCATATATGTCAATCGGACAATTATCTGACCCGTAAATCATTTTCAATCCCTATATTCTTTTCTTACCTCTTGATTACTGCGTAACCTCATTTGATAATAAAAGTCACGAATCAGTTAATGATGCATTCTTTTCTACCCTTCTACTGACATATATTTTCCATATAACTATAAATACGAATGTACAGTTGAAGTAAATGATTTTGTCGAAAAAAGAATTTTCCTCACTGAATTCTCTTTATGAATATTATTCAGTTATTTCTGTGACATTTTGGTACCCTGATTAGCTTACTGAAGAAATGAATATGTAATTAGACAAATAAATTCTTAGCTACATTTCTTATCGTATTTTATAGCCACTAGCAAATAAATTTAGAATAAAAATTGTTAGTTTCATCGTAAGCATCTTCAAAGTACATTGATGAATGAATAATTATTGAAAGCATTTTATACCGAGTGCCAAATTGTTTCCGATAAAGTTGAGTAGTCAGAAAATAGTGTAGTGATTGTATGATGTTCAAGTGGGTTATATAAGTGTTTACTACGGTAAACTGTTTATTTAAAGTAAAATTGTTTAACCAAATTAACTTTCATTAATTTGTAAAACACAACACTTTAGTTACGAGAATTTATTAAATTTCAGTTGAGCACATTTGTAAATTATTTAGGAAACGTTTTATTATTGTAAAAAACATACTCATCACAATATTGAGTAATATAATGAAAAGGAATTCAAGCTAACAAACTAATTCTTTGTTCACAGAAGAGAATTTGTAATAAACTTAACCTTTCTATGGCAAGAGGAAACTTAATGGGTAATTCTATTAATTCAATATAATCATTGAGTCACAAACTGCCCTGATTGATACATATATTTCTCATATATAAGTACATAAATATCACTGGACATTAAGGTAAGGACTAAAGAAGATTACGTTGGTGACAAAATTATATGTTTAAACATTTTGCCGTTGAAACTTATGTTAATGGTATTTCGTTGAGTTCTGGAGTGATCGGATAATTTTGTTTTCTTATATACAAGCTATAACTTAATGGTATTCTTTGGAACTATCGATTTACGACTATAGACAGAGAGAAGTGAAATTTATTCATGTTTTTTATTCTATCCACATCGTTTGTCATGAATAACGTGTTGTGTTCAATTTTATTTTCAAAAATTCATTTTATTAGTGTAAAACCTTTGGATGATCAAAGATGTCATAATTTCTGCCTCAACATTATTGCAATTTTTTTGTAAAGAAAAAGGCATTATACATTTTGGTTGTAGCAATCTGTTTTCCCATTTACAAATTGTGACCATAAATGATTTATGTTAATTATATAAAAACGAACTATTAATCAATGTGGAAAACTTTAAGTAGTCTTGTTGATCTATTTTTGTGTAGATATAAGTCTCTATCTATTGTCTTTTTTCGTTGTCTCTTTTTGTAGTGTCATATAAGTTCATCCAGTTCAAATAATTAATAAAGTACTAGAGCATGTTTGATTAGGTTACTATATATGATATTCTCGTGTTTCTATTGTATTATAGGTCCAGTCTAAATCTGTATTGGCTGCTTTATACAGTTCAGAAGGTTCTGTTTTAGAAAGGCATCATTTCTCTCAGACCATTTGTGTATTAAACACAGAGGGATGTAATATTTTTGAAAATGTTTCAAAAGAAGTGAGTCAATATCGTATTTTTCTTCAATACAACTAATTACGATCTCGTTAACTTGGACTGTCAGAAAATGTTATCGATTGTATTTTTTACATTTATAACTGAATACTGGAGCAATAATGAAATCATCTCTTAAGCTTTCACATAAAATTGTTATCTACGGTGATGAATTTAGGGTATATCCACCGACAACGAGTTATTCTGCTATTCTGTTTATACCTGAGTACACAATGGAGGACTATCGATTACCGGATTATGTGCAGGTGGTTTATAGAAACAATATACAGTTATTTGCTTAAAACTGGAAGTTGATGGACTATGCTAGATATGAATATATTAAATCGGTTATTACTGAATTGAGTACAGATATAACACACCTATATGATCATTTACCATTTTTAAGTACAAACTTAAAACTAACCATAAAAACTATGTATGAAGATTTGGAGTATAAATACTTTAAAACATAAATTAAATTTATGATTATCGCTAGCTTAATCCTCAATAAATCTGTCTAAGAATATAATTATGTCAAGAATTGCTTTATTGAATTCTAGTGTTTATTAAAATGTGTTGTTAACTTAATCAAAACTGGCGCAATCGCATGAAACAACTCATAACTTGTTCTCACACTTTTTTATTATTTTTTTAATCTTAGAGCAAAAGAAAGTAAATACCTTAACTCATATGCATTTTATTATTTACTGAACTAATTATGAAATTACATCATCTTAAAGTAATTTTCAACCACAGTCAAATAAGCAGTGCATTAAATTGAAGTATTTAATCAAGTTAATTCTCAGTAGATTATAAACCGTTTTCCGTCTTACTATTAATTTAAATAATACACTTTCAGTTTAATTTGTTCACTAGAATAGATATTTCAATATTTTGTAATCAACCATATTGTCATATGTAAAATATTTTGGTTTCGTGCAACAATAATGCATTCTATGACAATATATATGCATTGTATATACTTATTTTGACTAGTAATCATATCCTGGTTTAACATTTAGCCTGAAAATACGAGCTTTTGCTATCAAGCGTTTTTTATACACTTAACTAAATAGCGAAATATTAAATTACTTTCTCAAATGTCATATACACCCTTTTAAGTACATTTTGTTTCTATGGAAAATTCATTATAAAATATTAAAATCCTTAGCCTTTAGGATAGTTTTTTTTTCACTTAGAAACAGTTGTTAAAGCGTGAAATATATTTATCAGTTAAAAGTTTTGTAGCTAACGTGAAGAAAACACATTTAAAATCAAATATCGAAACTACTTTTTTTCAGTCGTTAAAGTATAAGTTTCAGGTTTCCTCATTGTGTAAATGTAACCATATATATATATATATATATATATATATCAAATCCGTTCATTTACTTTTTCATTTTGGTTATTTTAAACTTAAATAAACAGTAAAACACCAAAACCTAATGTTCATTTTATTTTCTATTATCAAGTATAAATTCAGCCATTCCATAGTTAAAAATATGAAAATACCTTTTAATGAAATTGTTTAAATTGGAAGTAGTCGATATCCTTTACTTTTTAATCCCATTAATTATTTCAAGTCATTTTACTTACTTCTAGCTAAACTTTGTTGAAATACATAAGACTAGAAATATTCATGTGTATTAGACTATTGATATTTACATCATAACATAAAGTGTATAACATATACTATTGAAGAAAGTCTACTTAAAATCTAACCATCGAAGTGAGAAAGAAAATGAAAACAATTCGGAGTATGAAAAAATGATGAGAGATACCTGTTTACTGAAATACTCCATATTGGTTAGAATAATTTACTAATTAAACTTAATTCTACACTATAAATGTAGCATATGATTGATGGTAAAAAAGCATAAGAAACTGTATAAATTGTACAATACTAACAGATTATTCATGAGGTTAGACAGAAGATGAATGGAATTTCTGGATGTTCTGTCAAACGGATTATAATATATTTGATAAGTTTTTCTCGAATTTTCAATTCTGTCATACCTAAAATTAAGATAACAAATAGACAATATTTTATTTGATGAATTTATTATATTAGTATATGGAACTTAATTATATGTACATATTTGTGCCTAGGTTTCAGTGAGTACGTTTTTCAACTAACGGATTAATAGTTAACTAGGGAACAAAGTCTGAAATTAAGTCTGTATTAATGGAGGGTTTGTGAACTATTTATATTGAGGAATATTACTGATCAGTCTCGGTTGCGAATGTACTTCCTGAGAGGACTATTTAGGCTTGGTATTAAGTTACAAATTTGAGTAAACATCAAATATACCTACACTTTTGGTAACATTATATCGAAGCAACCAGCTCAAGAGGTATGTGTGATTAAAGTGACTGGGCGTTTGCATTCTTGAATATTAACAGTTTAAAATTGCAAGTCCTTATTAACAACTTTATACCCGTTAAACAATTTAATGGCAATATAAACCCAGTAATTCAGTTAATAATGAGTCGGACGTTTGAAGTGAAGGGTGCTGAATTCAAATTTCAGTGTAGAAATCGGCACTGTGATGAAGGTATATCCACTTGATAAATTCCATGCAGGAAGAAATACAATTCTTCGATCCCATCGCTAATCGAATGCCAAACATACTTCTGTCTATATTTGTTTTGGACATAATTTTTGGAACTTTCTATTACTTTTTTCTTGTCAAAAAGCTTTCCAACATTATGGCATCGTATTTTTCCCTGAACTTTAATCTACAGGATTATGGTCAGTTGTTAGATCATATTCGTGACATAATCCTAGCAACTGATTTGTCACATCATCTTCGTATAATGCCGAAATTGGAAGAACTATCTCATAGAGGGTATGATGGGACTAAATCAGAGGATCATTACCTTCTTTTATGCCTCTTAATGACTTCAGCTGACTTGAGTGATCAAACCAAATCTTGGAACAATACAGTTTATGTCGCGAAATTAATTTATGAAGAATTTTTCCAACAAGGTGATATGGAAAAATCATTAGGACATAATCCAGTTGATAGTATGGATAGAGAACGAGCATGTGTGCCACATTTACAAATCTCTTTCTTGGATTATATAATTACACCACTATACAAGTAGGTTTAATTAGTCTTTTAGCGATATAGTCTATCACATAACGAGTGTTACCTTTGTCATCTATGTGCTCCAAATACCATTTTGATTATTATTTTAATGTTCTGACCATTATTTCTTCGTGAAAACTTATAATGCTGTCACTACTAGAATTTTTTTGGAATCTTAGGACTCTTTAAATGATTCTTCGTCTCCATATCGGGACTTGGTTTGATGCGACCAGAGACTCGGAGACAATATGAAAGTGATAAGTCTTATCGATTGAACGCTATATTAGTTTCCTAAGCTATTCTGGTACCCCGAAAGCTAGAACTGCACAGCGAATTGAACACCAGAGAGAAGACGCAAGTATGAGGGAAAATACTTTACTCAGAGGTTCATTTTATTACAGAAAATATAGGGTTTTTATAACATATCTAAATGTCCTTGGGTCGCTGGAGTATTCTGGAATGCTACTAAACGTAGTAGCATTGTAGTAGTCAACCAATCAGAGCTTCCGCATGTGACGTTTCGCTACCTTGACATTTCTGGCCAAGACGTTGATTGGACGAAACACTTCTTAGTGTTTCTTGATGCTTGCTTGTCTTTTGCAAGCGATTTCTGGATCATCCCAACAGAAAGCTCATTTTCCTAGTCCAACAGCAATCGGTCAGCATCATGTAAATTTCATTTCTTGGTATGCAAATAAAGAGAGATCACGAGTATTAAATTGGCCAAATTTGATACAGATTTTTTGCACGATGTAATTCGTCATGTATTTCACTGTGTTTGTAGCCATCAACCTTAGTACCTTCATGCGCGTATTTTCTAAAAACACATGGTATACGATTGTTCTTAAACAATTAATCATTACATGTTTAAAAAGTAAATCCAGTTACTCTAGGATACATTTGCACTTTACTTTTTATTGAAATATTCAGAACACTTGAGACAAATAACATATAACTTTCAAAATATGTTCATATATGTTGTTGACTCCTATCATTTCACCTGTCTTACATGAGAGTGATATTCTGTTCTCTAGGTATTTTTCTCGTATCAATCCAACTAATCTATGTCAGTTTGATCATATTGATAGCTTCGATAACATAGATAGATTTAATCCAGGTTCAAACAAAGCATACAATTTAAGGGTATTAATTTCCACTGACTTGTTTTACGATGTCTAGATTTTATATTAATCTAATCGTTCATTGTACAGGAAATATGCGATCATAATCTGAAGCTTTAAAAATGCAAAAAGACAATTCGAGCTATGATAAACAGGATCTTGTTGCGAAATTTCGACACAATAATTAAATTTTGTAACAGATGAATATTGTAATAAAAAATCTCACTCTTCTTTGTAACATTTTTTTTCATAACCATAGGATACTGAACAATTTATATCCACAATGCTCAAGTATTTTAGATACTATAGAGAAAAATCGTGATAACTGGAAAATAATTCTTGAACTTGTCGAAAAAGGTGATATTAAAGGTAATGGTTCGGAGATTTTCAATCATAATCTTATTGAAATATTGGCTCAGTTACAAGTGAAATCAACAACGGAACCAAAATCAGTATCCTTGGCACCGTCAGTTGTACAACCACTTTCATCATATTCGTCATCATTAAAACCAGATAAATAAAATTACTTATTTTGTGTGATGTAAATTAACTTAAAAAGATGATTTTCTTCTTTCTTATTATGTGTAGATTATCAAACAATCCTTCATTTCCTTTTTTTAATCTGACAAATATATCAATTCTAGTGTAGGTGTACATAAATCAGCTGATCAAAAATAAACATATTAAAAAGTAACTTACATATTTGTAAAAATGCCAGAGATTGAGAACAAAATTAACTCCACAGTTTAGATGGATAGCTTGCTTTGAGCTTCTTCGGGAAAATGACCAAATCTCAGAATTATTAGGTTTAAAATAGGGATCAAACAACGACAACTTTCAAGATAAAATGTTGGAAGATGATTTTTAAAATATGAACGTCAGTTATTTCATGTAAAATGTTCTCGAACTATAGTTAGTACAGAAGCTTATGTGTCTATGGAGATTTTTTGTGTGAAATCGTTGTACTTAGCCTATGATATGGGCACAAATTAATTTATCTGATTGACAGTCACCGGTCAAACTTGTTAGAAGATGCACTGTAAGAAAATAACTAAGATTATGTTTTAATAGCTACGTTAAACGAACTGGTTGTCAGAGTCGTATCTAAATATGATAACGGATGTACTGATTTAATGTGTGTCTCTGCTCTCCACCAAACCTGAAATGAAAAGGGAGTAGTGTGTTAAATTTATGCTAACTTATTGATAAATAGTTGCATTTGTATAGTCAATTATATTCCATCACATCGATTCGAATTATTTTGGTTTATTTACCTATGCAAACTATCGGTTGTTAATCTTTCTTTTCGAGAACCAAAACCATTTTGAGGGACTTTATTTTAGCCAAAGTCCATTATGTGTCCTGTTTTTATTGCAAGTAACGCTGTCAGATTTTCTGTCACATTTTCTAAGTTTTTTTTCGTGTAAGAAAACAACTTGTTCCCACTATATGTTTGTGTTAGGAAAATACGCTTCTGTTCGAAGTTTCGTAAACATACAGTCTTATACAAAAATCATTTTCATTAAAAACGTAAAACAATTGTGAAATTATTGAAAAGGCTGACAAATGTGACTGCGGTTTTCTCTCAATCGCATTCTCTACATTCTCTACTTGTGGTTATGACTGGTGGCCACTCACCCTAGTATAACTTCTGAAGAGTTATTATTGGTTAATTAAGGGGTTGATCAATAACTATAGTCAACTGACGTATACATACCACATATTATTGGGATTGGTTATTCATTATGTCTTAAGTCCTATCTACTAAATATAAGCTAATATGAATGATGCTGAGTAATCATTCGTCATTTGTTGCTTTACTGATAACGGTAATAACTAATGCATCGATTGTTACTTTTCCAATTATTTAGCTACAATGAAAATGATATCTATAAGAGGTAATGGTAATGTAATTTGTTGTAAATAAATATACGATTTACTCGTTCATATATATTCTACTATTTGCTGACAATATATAAAGTTTCAAATACTGACATTGTGTTGAATTTATGTAAAGAGCCTCCATCTTTGGATTCATTCGTAGGTAACAGTAATGTGAAAATGAGTGAGAAACGATATGGTTAATTACCTTCAAGTTATATTATTAAATATCAGTATACTTGACACCAGAATTAAGCATTCGATGAAACACAATCATCACACTGAACAGTATTTGTTCTACAACTAATCGGAAATGTTAAAATTGATAAAAATCGATTTATATATGGTACTTTTTTTCTGTAATGTCCTAATTTTTCCCTTCTTATTTCAAATGATTTATTTGACCTTAATTTATTATCTGATTATTTGTTCATGATGTTCAAAATACAATGCAACAATCACTATTGAAAGCTAAATGGCTTTTTTGGATTTCTTTTTATCGTTAACTATTTATTTATAGTCATGTTAACTAAATTTTTTGGTATATATATATATATATATATATATATATATATATATATATATATATATATATATATAATGAACCGACTGATGTTAGGCTACCATTGAAAACCTGAAAGCACTGGACGGCCGTTTCGTCCTATTGTGGAACCTTTTATTAATAACATGAATCAATCTAAAACAAATGAAAAACAACAAGGTGAGATTAACATCAAATAATGTTTTGAAGTAAAAATAATTGAATTGAAAAACGTATAGACCGTAAGGTATCTCTGTGAATCAGATATGTTGTAAAATGTTTAGTTTCACTTCCTTGATATAAAAATGCTCTGTATCAAAGCGATCTAATACTCTTATTTCTAAATATGTCTGTACTCAGATATTGATATTAATTTGGCTTGATCATTAGTTAAACGAGGGAATAAAAATGATGGAACAAATCGAGGTTAAGCGTTCGCACGCGAAACTGATAGGTCCTGGGTTCCAATCTCATCGGGTGGGATTATGGATGAGCATTTTCGTTTTAACAAAATAAACCGAATAAGCTTTTCTCTTATAAGAAATTTACATTTTCAAATTTAAATTAAACTTTTATTCAAATGGATAAATGTGAATTTGCTTCAGCATTCTGACTATTCATTTTAAGAATAATTCCAACCATATTAAGGTCAACCGTACAAAAAAAGAAAATAGAAGGAAATTGTTTATTTTAACTTTGTTCATTCTGATTAGTAAATACTGTTCGCAGTGACATACTCTGAACATAAAAGTACATTTTACCTTGTATTATTATTGAAAGATTTTCTAACCAGTTCATTTGATTTAAAAAGTAGAAACTTTACAGATAATTTGTTTTTTTTCCCATTTTACTTCTTGTAATGCTATTTTCTGTCAATGATAGGTCCATTTAGCTGAATGACTTAACTTTAAAGCATTCATTATCACTAAAAACAATATTTCCGATGCTTACTATAAAAACTGATTGACAAATTATATCGTTCTGATTAGCTTTTTTTTAAACAAATCGACTTTTTAATATCATGAAATCTTTTTGGTTAATCATTAGTGTGCCTAACCGTTTTAAGGTTTAAAGGTTCACAAGACCATAGACACAATTATCATTATATTGCATTCTATTTTTGTACAAACTATTTTCACTGAACAACGTAAAAGTAAGTTAACTTGTAATCGACTAATATTCATAAAAACTTAAACAAATACATAGAAAGTGATACGTTGAATAACATCTTTAATTCTTATTATTAACGTTTCAGTTTGTATTCACTTACAAAACATCCTTTATTTAAATATCAGTAAATTCATGTAGTTTTTAAACATTTTATAGATAGTTTAAAGTAATGAAAATAACATCTTACAAACAATATAGATATCTAAAATTCAAAAATAAGCTTTACATTGAATCCACAATCACCAATTCTATACACTAGAGATGTGAGATAAGTCGGCTGTATATCATATTATCTTCCTGCTTTTCATTCTTCACAATAATATCATTAACAGTGACATATAGATGGCGCACTATTCTAATTACACATTTAGATTTACTTTTCTCTATTGTATTGCATATTAAAATAAATTTATATGATTTCTGGTTATTTAATTGTGACATAACCAACAAATAGATTTACACTTTTATTCGGTAAAAGAGAAATGGAATTACCAGATCACAATAATAAGATTCATCCTGAATGTCTTATGAATCAATTACACAAAACAAATTTGTATCAATTTTAAGTAATCAAAGCCATTTAATGCGTTTTATACGGTGAAATAACATAAGAGATTAAAAAAAGGCTTCAGATGAACACATTTCAAGCATATGAGCATGTAAATGGCTACTAAAAAAATGTTATATATGTTTTTTCCAAAATTTTCGATTATATAGTTACAAAAAGGCAGAAATTTCTCCCGTACATTGACCAAACTGGTGGATTTATGCATAGAAAATATTAACTGCTGATATAAAATATTTTATGAAATCTATTTTTATACTCATAGCTAAGTTGTTATAATGGCGCCTTGGTATACTAGACCCATACTGTAGCTTTATACATAAATACAAGACTTTGTTCAGTCTTATTCCACTGTTAAAATTCATTGTCTTAAATTGCATTAACATATATTGGAAAAATTTTTTGTCGAAATTAGGTAAGAAAAAAGGTTTAGTCAGGTATCTTTTAATGACCCGATATCTGTCTCCAATTAGATCGTATGAATGATTGTTATCAAAATGTACATCCTGGCTATCCTTGTATATAATCGTCGACTTAATCCGTGTTAGTGAATCAGTCGGTCAGTCAGTTACAACGTAGAACCAGGCACATCGGTACAAGTTGTCATACCTCATTAGCACAAGATGAACACCGAATTCATAGAAGTAGTTAATTCAGTGATGGTAACATATAAAAGAAAGATTGCATATGAGGACATAGTATAGGAAGGAAGAATTAATTCGTAGATAGAAAGACATGAAGTGACTTTAGTATTATAGTTTAAGGAAAGACAAAGAGTGTATACACTTACGCCATTGTGATCCATTCTGAACCATAGTCACGCGGACCCCAAACAAGTAGTCCGCATCTACCAACATGGCTCAGACTACAAGTTAGTGACTCCAAGCACTGATGCCACGTTTTGGTTTGGCTGCCCCTAACTTTCTTCCAACCATCCCGAACACCGGTTAGCATCGAGCATCGTGGTAATTGGTGCTCAGGCATGCGCAACACATGGCCCAACCATCTCAGTCGATGAAGATTCACAACCTCATCAACTGATTTGCCATCATTCCCTAATACCCTGCGTCTAACCTCACTATTACTTACACGCCAATTTCAGCGAATGCGAGCAATATTTCTAAGGCATCTGTAGTCAAATACTAGTAGCTTATGAATATCTTCTACTCTTAATGGCCACGTTTCGCAGCCGTAAATTAAATCATAACGAACTGCCGCGCAGTATGCTGTGTTAATTAATAACGAGAATGGATTTTTGAATACCTATATTTTGTACACTCATTGATCTGGATAGACAATCAAAGGAATGAAGTGAAGAGAAGCAAAATGACGCGCAGTTGAGAAGGCAAATGAGCCAACTCCAT